TTTTTCTTTTCTTTTCTTTTTTTCATAAATTTATTATTGATAATATCCTCCTCCCTTCCTAAGTTTCAACAAAAGATAAACTCAAGAAATGCCCGCAGGAATCGAAACATAGCAAAGGTTAATAATTAACCACAATTTTAGGATCTTCAAATATACAAGGCTGCTAGTGTAATCGGGTTGTAAATTTCGAACATTCAAAAGGCACACCCTCGCCCTTCTACTTCCTTTTCGGAAAGTCCCCCACATTAGCCCCTACGTTTGTGTCAACTCAGCGAATCAGCCCCAATATAAGAATTTCATCACATTTACCCTTATATTAGTCACATTTCGTCAATTCAGTCCAATTGATTGAAATATAACAATATAGTCTCTTTCTTGTATGTTAAATTCATCACAGTTTTTTTTTATTCCAATTAAGTTGAATTGAAAAAATTTAACGAAAATCAGATTAATTATGTTTTTGATTTGTTGAATTGACACATAACAATATAGTCTCTTTCTTGTATGTTTTTTTATTCCATTTTCGTCAAAAAAATGGCTGGTTTAGTTCGTTCCTTTTCCTTTGTTTTCCCTTTCCTTGTATGGATGTTGGGCTACCAGATAGAAACCCACTTGACAAAACCCATAATCGCTTAGGCCCAGATCAATATATTAATCCTTTATATAATATCCCATACTTACTGGGCCTAAAAGTATTTGCAGAATGGAAATGAATATTTTTAAAATTTGGCTCCATTTTCAGAGAAGTGACAATTCAGCTTTAAAGCCTTAAAAATAGGGTTAGAAAGTACAAAAATTCAAATTAACGGTCTTTTCATCTTCTCCTTCATATCAGGCCTCAAAATTTGCCTTCCACGTATATAAAAGTGTACCCTCTTTTTTTGTAACGCACATTGTTCTTCTTCTTGGTTACTGCAATTTTCACCAAACATGGCTGTTCTTCAAGGAAACACACAGCAGGTCATCTCCCTCTCTCTCTCTCGCGCTCTGCGTTTTTAGTCCTGTACTTCGGCAAGTCAGGCTGTTGGTTAATGGTGTTGATCTTTCGGGTTTACATTGCAGGGAAAGCGAGGAAGGACACCAAAAGTGAATGGAAGCAAAAAGGTTCGCTAGTTTTGACTCTCTTTTTCTTTGAAAATCAGAATTTTAAGTGCTAAGTTGTGTTTCTTATTCCCTTTTCGTTCCATTTTTTTTAAGGTTTCGTTGGTGAATCACTGTTGATGTTTTGGGCTTTTTGAGCTAGCTCATTTTATCTAAGTTTTTTAGAGGCAACAAAATGAATACGCTCAAGAAATTGATCAACATTGGTGTCACTAGATAAGGCCTAACTTAGTGTTTGCAAAACTGGTTTCTCTTTTTGGTCTCAGAAAATGGTTTATTTAGCATTTACTTTTGATAATCTTTCTGATCACTTTTTTTCAGTGTTTTTGAAATCGGAAAAAATTTGAATGGTAGAACCATGTTAGCTCTTATTAATAGCTGAAACTAACTGAAGATTCTTTTAAGCTTCATTGAATTTTTACCTTTTTCATAGCACAAAAATTATAGTTTGGAAGTTTTAGAAGAAGGGTCACTTTCAGGGGATGCATTGAAAGAACATATTAGAAAAACATTATTGATGAATTTGAAAGCAGCTTTTACAGATGGAAAGGTAACTCATATTCTAGATGTTTTTATGCACTTGTGCTTTTTGAATAACAAAACAGAGCCAAAGCAATCAAGGTTGCTTAAAACATCGTTTAAAATTTCCTTTTTCTCACCATGAAAATCATTTGTATTCTGATGAACTATTGAAAGTTCTCGTATCGTTTAAATTTTAAAAATGATAGAGCTCAATTGATTATAGAATTGCCAATTCTCGAACAGGTACCGGGTAATGTTTCTGTTAAGTCTGAAAGGTCAGTGGATTAAATTCAATGGCTGTCTGATATTCCTTTACTTGTAAGAAGCAGAATTGTATCGTAATCTCTTACAATATTAACTCGATTTTATTCTACGTAGCTACAAATCGAAGAGAGCTAAAATCGATGACCTCTATGATAACGAGGAAGTTAAATCTGATGTCATGATGCGAGCGAAAGAAATTCAAGCTAATCTATCACCAGAATTCCCTAGCATCATAAAGTGTATGCTACCCTCGAATGTTACCAGAGTTTTTTGGCTGGTTAGCTTCAAGCTGGCTTTATCATTTTGTTGACAGTTTTTCATAGTTTATGATATTTGACTCTCTACTTGATCTGAATTGCCAACTTTTTGGATGGAAGCATTTTCCAAAGAGATTTTGTGAAGCACATTTGCCGAAGGAAGGCACGTTGATTGTTTTGGAAGATGAATGGGGAAAATGTTGTGAAACAAAATATCTTGCACACAAGGTGGGCCTCAGTGCTGGATGGAGAGGGTTCTCCATTGATCACAAAATAATGGAGGGGGATGTTCTGATTTTTCATTTAGTCAAGCCTACCAAATTCAAGGTAATTTTATGAATCTTCTTCTTGACTGCGAAATTGCTGTATTACTTTATTTCAATTGCTACTCTCTAGGGCCCTCAAATAAATGGAATGAATTTAGTTGCTTCAAAAGTTTCAGGATTGCTTCCGGAAACAAATCTTTGCTTGACGCTTTAGAGAAATTGGGTAACTGGTTGGCAATTTAGATGCTAAATCTTAAACTTTCAGAGAATAAGAAATGAGGAGTAGTGGAATATTATCATAATCTTAGTTTAGATTCGTCGGCTTCTACTGGCTATGTATCTTCTTTATCCCCTGAGATCTGTATCTCATGAGAGTTTGAATTTGCCAATCTTTTTTTTTCAAATGTCTGCAGCCTTAACTTTTCCAGACACATTGATGTTAATCAAAGCATCACAGAATAAGTGAGCACCAGAAACAGTTTTCTAAGCCTGTTGCATGCGAATTGTGAGACATCATTCATGAATGTTACTTTGAATGAATATCATTTTCTACAAATTCTATTATCTACTCTATTGCTGCTTGGCTTCTTTTAGGTCTACATTGTGAGAGTAAATGGTTCACAAGAATTGGATGGTGCTCTTGGCCTTTTGAGACTGGAAGCTGGTGTCAAACATATGAATCCTAGTAAGTTTCGAAGTTCTGTATTCACTTATGCTCACTTATCAATTATGAATGGCAGAGAGCATTATTTAGCCTTGTATCTTCCTTGTCTGCAGTCAATAGTTCAGAAGAAGTGGACGGTGCTCTTGGCCTTTTAAAATTGGAGGCTGCTACTGAACAAATGAGTCCTAGTAAATTTCAAAATTCAGTACTCACTTTTGCTCACTTATCAATTAGGAATGACAGAGAGCATTATATAATCTAACACATCTTCGTTATCTACAGTCAATGAAGCAGTTCATGTAGAGAAACTGAGCAAGGTAAGCGAAGAAATGGAAGATCAGGAATTTGAACATCTATCACATGACAATCCTGAAGAGAACAATGAAAAGAATGTCATGTTGACCTGTCTTACCAACTTTGAGCCTGTATCAGAGCTGTCTGAATGTGAAAGTGAAGATATTGGCTCAGAAATTACAGATGGAATCAGATTGTCAGAATCTGCTGTTGATTTTAAAGAAGTGAAATGTTTCGAGGATTTTGACATTCTTGTAAATGGCTTAGTAATTAACAGTGAGCTCCCCAAACACCTTCAAGCCAAGTATTATGAGCTTTGCTGCAGTCAAATTTCCTTTCTCCATGACCATCTTCTTGATGGCCTTAACTGTAAACTGGTTGCTGGAATGCTTTCCGAGACTATCAATATTGCAGATGCCATCAGAGCTTCGAAGCTTACTACCTCTCAGGATCATTTTGCAATTTGGAAGAAGACTTTGAAAGCCTTTGAAGGCTTAGGAATGAATGTTAGTTTCTTGCTGGTTAGGTTGGGACAGCTTATGCACCTATCTGCTAAATCAAAGAGGTATCAAGAAGCCAGATTGGAAAGAGTTAACACCAAGGAGGAGAGAACAACTCTCGAGGCAAAGCTTTTGGAAGTGAAAGACAATAAAAATAGGCTAGGTGATGAGATTGAGAAATTAGAGGTGGATTCTGAGAATCTAGAGCTTAGGTTCCTAGAAGTGGCTAAAGCCCCATGGTGATGACATGACTGACTAGTATTATAGTTTTTTTGTTGGGGAACAAACCCATTCATGTCATACTGTCTTTTAATGTTTAGTATTTTCACCCCTCGGAATTTATCCTTGAATACTAAAAGAAAAGCGCCTATATCTTCTTAATCTAGCCAAGATTAAGTAAATTAGTAAAAGAAATTTCTGTGAATTATTTTTTTCACGTAAATCATCATAATTAAGGATTTATCCTTGTAATTATTTTTCATTTATCCTTGTAACTTGTTGACACCTCAAATAAATGGCAGATAATCACAGTTTGAAACGCTCAATTTCCACGAGTAATTTTTTTATGCCTCGACATATGACATACAATAGAATTGGATGGAATGGTAAAAACCTCAACATAACTTATAGTGAAGGTTTAGAATCCATAAAAATAGAATAAAAAATATACAAGGATCCATATAAAATCAAGACTACTTAAACAAAACACCATTGAGAAGACGTTTGTTTCGCATAAAGCATTTTTCAAATGAAAAATATTTTACATGAAAAGGTTTTATAATATTTAATAAATAACGATTTTTACTATATTTTTTAAATAATGATTTTTACAATATTTGATAAATAATTTTTTAAAAAAAATACGATTGTAAATAAACCACCCTTGCATATATTTGTATATTCAGTAACTCAAACATACCAGTGCTGGCGTGAGCCAGATTTTGAATTCAAAGTAGTAGTAAAATGGCACTTCACCACTCCACTGTCTTGGTGCGAAAACCAAAAAAAAAAAAAAAAAAAAACCCTAAGGTCCTTTCTTCTTCTTCTCTTCCCATTCTCTTCAGGTCTTTTTTCACTAATAACAAAGTGAAAAGGGGGTTGGATTTTTTGAATAAAAAAGTGTGACAAAAAAATGGCGAAATCAAAGCAAACGTACGAGGAAATCAGGCAAAAGAGGATGGAAGAGAACAAAAAGAGGATGGAAGAGCTCAACCTAACTAAGCTCTCTCAAAGTCTCCTTTCTAAGCCATCTCCAGTACGTACAAAATTAAAAGAAATGCTTTTGATTGCGTCTTTGCGTGTGGATTTGTTAATGTGTTTCGACGGGTTTTCTTTTTTAGTCTTGTTTGAATGTTATATGATAATAATTTAACAGATGAAGAAAGGGAAGCCCAGAATTTCTAGGCCAGCAGTGGCCTCAACTCCTGTGAGAAGGTCGACCCGAGTTGCAGACAGGCCCACTGTTAGCTATAAAGAAGTAAGGATTTCGGCTTTTGAATATGGAAAACGTACATTTTTTATTCCAGAGTTTAGACCTTTGAGATGCCATGTTCGATTTTTGGGCTAATATGCATTGAGAGTGTAATTGAAAGTAAGTGTCTTTTGACTTCTGACAGGTCCCAATGGAACCTTTGGAGAGACCCAGAAGGTTTGTTACTTGAATTCTTTTGTTTAAAAGACTGAGGGCTTGAAATTTTGTTGGATTTGTTATGGTAAGCATATGCAATTCTTATGTTTTTTTTTGTGAGGTTCATTTGCATTGTAGAAGCTACAGTTACCGAAGGAGAGGTCTATTGTATGGAGTTTATGTTTCTAATGAAGCGAGGGAACATGCAATTGATAAAGCAGAAGAAATCCAGTCACTTTTGGGAGCTGATTTCCCAAGTTTTATAAAACCCATGGTCCAATCACATGTCAGTGGATGCTTTTGGCTGGTAAGAAATCAAGGTTTTGCCTTATTATTGTAACTTCAGAAAGCTAGAAAGAAAGAATCTTTCTTTGAGAAAGTTGCTGGCTTGTAAACAAACCAATTATCATTACACTTTTCCTATTTCAGTAGATACTAATTAAGAAACTGAAGAGGTAAAAATTTGTATAAATAATTTGTCAAGTTTTGCCCTTTCTTTCATGTGCCATGATCATCATTTCCTTGTTCTCCAAGCAGTAAAGATGACAGGTAATTGCATACTCAGATTTTTCTCAATAGGGGATTGGAGTTTTATGAAATTGCTGAACATATTTATCAGGGTCTGCCAGTTCACTTCTGCAAGTCACATCTTCCCCTAAATGATGAAATGATGACTTTGCAAGATGAAAAAGGAGATAAATTCCAAGCGAAGTACCTTGCTCAGAAAACTGGTCTTAGTGGTGGGTGGAGAGGGTTTGCCATTGATCATGAGCTCTTTGATGGAGATGCATTACTATTCCAGCTAGTCGAGCCTACAAAATTTAAGGTAAGCCCCTTAATTTACTCAAAAAACTTATGCTTGATTTGTTTTACATTAGGCTTGGATATTCCTGGTGCAATGTGATTAATCTCTAGTTATATGTCAGTCGGTAGAGAATTTACGACTGATGGGCATTTAAAATTTGTGGTTTAAGTAATTTTTATGATTTAAATATTGTGCAGCAGAGTAAAAGACTAAACTTCAGACTGTATGCAAATATTGCCGCATCTGGCTAAATGGGAATTATTGCCTCAACTTCTGGTTTATGTACTGTTATATTTTGGCAGCCTGCCTAAACTGAATGATGTCTTAACAAAGTATTATTTTCTATGTTTTCTGCTCCACTTAAGTAGATGAAATTACTCTTATGAGTACTCTATGTGTATCAATCCTTAGTTACTACTCTTTTTACTAGGTGTACATTGCAAGGGCAGATTCAGAAGACAGAGAAAACAAGGAAGACATGGAAGAAGATAATGAAGAGAAGGAAAACATTGACAAGGACGAGAATTCAGATTCCACACATATGGATGGGAGAGCCAGACGAACCAGAGCAAGTAATTGCTTTTCAACCCTTCTAAAGCGCCAGAAGTTGGTTTCCACGATAGGAAATCAATTCACATAATCAAAATAGTCATATTAATAGATTCTAATCGATAAATTGAAAAATGAGTACCTGTTGGGATGCGCTTGAAGTTTTGCTTGATTTATTGAAATTATGTTGTAACTGGTGAATCCCTGTCGATGCTAACAATTTACAGCAAATGCTAGGAATACTTTGTGGAAATTTGATAGGCAAAAACACTTCACTTCAAGGATTATTGAATTGCTATTAAGAATTCTTTTCTTGTTTCCTTGCCATCCATATGCTGGCATAGGTAAGTTTTGGTACCAGCCAGAAATAATAGAAAACGAAAATGAAGTATTGATCAATGCACGCCCGCACGCATATCACACCAAAATCATTTTACAAGGTTCTGACTAGTGTTATTGCTTTTGGCAGGCAGAAAGTAGTGTTTCATAATGTGGAGCGGCAGCAGGTTTCTTTCTTTCCAATATAAGAGCTAGCCTATGATAGAGAAATGAATCTTTTTTGTTTTGGTTCTGCAACGTATCATTGTTGATTTGAAAGGCACTAATTACTAATTAGATTTTGCCAAGTAGCATAGAAACAGTGGTTAAGAACTGACTCGTAACGTTTTGTTTACCTCATTGATTGTTGTTAGGTTATTGTATCGAACCCCTACCATCTTATGTACGGCCTTTGCAGTGATAATCATTAATGTGCTGATGTCTTGGAGCAGTACTTTTAAAGGATTTGTTAGTTAATCTAGGTTAGTGTTAATCTTGGTTAGCTTTGATTGTCGTGACTTTGTTAGCCGAGGTTGTAATGTGATTTCGGTAGTTTCGTATTTTGAGTTGTTTAGGAGCAACCAACTGTAGAAAGTTAGAAACCAATACTAGTCTTTTGGGCCCAGCCCAACATTTTAGTCATCCAACAACTATCCGGGCCTAGTAATCGGAGAGAGTTGTTTTGAAAAATTCGGCTCCATTTTATGCAAAGAACTTATGACTGGGTCCAAAGAGTCGAGCTTGCTTGGAACGTGTTTTACCTTTTTCTTCTGTTCTTTCTCTCCAAATACGAAAGATACCACACCATTGAAATCATTTGGTTTTTTTTTTTTTTTTTCATTTAAAATGGTCTAATATGTGATGTAGGAAACTGTATACAAAATTTGCAATAACCTTGACTGTTTATGATATGATAAAGTTTGATGTCCATGATGCTAGCAAAAGTAGCTCCATCAAAAGCTCCTTTAGAACATGAAGAATCATCAAGTACATATGGCCTCTCTTGCTATCGAAGGATTTTGGCTGGTAAACCTCGAATTTTAACGATAGTTTTTCATTCTGACAAATTTTGGTTTATGATTGACTTGTGGTGTGGGGTAAACTTTTGGATGGTAGTCTTTGCAAGTAATTTTGCAATTTCTGTATTAAAAAAGAAGTAAATTTGCAATGAAATTAGACAGAAATAATTATCAGGAAGGTGAAAATGACAAACATTGTTAATAAAATATTCATATGAAAGTAGATTTTCGTACTAGATTGAAAGGTTTATCCATGAATCAAAAGTTATTGAAGAGAAATGTTGTGTTTTTTTTTCTTTTAATTTAGTCAAGTCAAACAAATTCGAGATAATTGTATGATACTTAAAAAAAAAAAAAAAAGGAATGGATCAACACTTTAGTTTTATTAGTCATATCATTAACCTAATTTAGATAATAAATGAGTTTGTTCTTCATGTTGATATTTTATATTCAAATCTAATAATAGTTCTAAGAAATAAATTTTTTTATAAATGATCATTTAAAATATGAATGATCTAATAAATTTTCAAATCTTAAGTTTATTAAGATAATAAACTTTTATTATAGTTTTATTAATTATTTTTAATAAAAGCCAACTCAACAACAACGGTTAGAAAACTACGAAAGTACTCCAGAGTAAATGTAAATGCCCGAATAGGCAAACATATACTTCTCGACAAAGGAAAACCCAAAATGTAGACTTGCTGACACGAGCCAGGTTTCGAATTCAAACGCTACTGACTTGGCGCTCAGTTCTTACACCTCATCATTCCACATCACCATCCGAAAAAAGAAAGTGACAGAGTATGGCCAAAAAATACGTGCAACACAAAAATGGAGAGAGGGAGAGAGAGAGAGAGAGAGAGAGAGAGAGAGAGAGAGAGAGAGAGAGCAGAAAATATTGAAAGTCACGTTCTCTACAACTTTTCATTTCGAGTCTTTCTTTTTTCACTTTTTCATTCTAACAAAAAGAGGAAAAAAAAACAAAACAAAGAGTTCATCTTTCGGACAAAAAAATGGCGAAATCAAAACAAACGTACGAGGAAATCAGGAAAAAGAGGATGGAAGAGAACAAGAAGAGAATGGAAGAGCTCAACCTCACGAAGCTCTCTCAAAGTCTCCTTTCTAAGCCATCTCCAGTGAGTACACACACTTTAAGTGCTTCTATGTGAGTATTTGTCTTAATGGGTTCTTTTTTTCTTGAATGTTAATGGAGAGATTGTGTGCTAATTAAATAAACAGGTGACAAAAGCGAAGCCCAGAATTTCTAGGCCACCAGTGGTCTTGACTCCTGTTAGAAGGTCGAACCGAGTCGCAGACAGGCCTCCTGTTAGCTATAAAGAAGTAAGCTTTGGTTTTTGCGATGGCGAAAGCTTAATTTTTAAAGTTTAGACCTTTGAAATGGCAAGATTGATTTTTGGGCTATAATGTAGTGATTAGTTTATCGAGAGTATGTAACTTTTGATTTCTGGCAGGTCCCAATTGAACCCATGCAGACACCCAGAAGGTTGGATTCTTGACATTTTTATTTTTAGATTTTGAGTATTTTAACATTTTGTTGGGTGTTTTGTAATTTGTCTTATGTTTTTTTGTGAGTGGCACTTGTATTGTAGGATCTACCAAAGAAGGGATCTATTGAATAGAGTTTATGCTTCTGATGAAGTAAGGGTATATGCAATTCATAGAGCAGAACAAATTCAGTCAAGTTTGGAAGCTGAATTCCCAAGTTTTGTAAAACCTATGCTCCAGTCACATGTAACTGGAGGGTTTTGGCTGGTAAGGGTCAATGGTCTATCTAATTAATTTATAGCTCTAGAAAGAGAGAGATATGAGTTGACTTGGCTTTTAGGTCTTGGATTACCTTTGTAAATAGAACAATTTTTAAAGGTTACTGTAATATGTGGTGCTTATCTTAAAAAATTGCTGAAGATAAAGTTTAGACAAAAAAGTTACCAGTTTTTGAGTAATTTTGTCCCATTTTATGTTACCATGCACCATGATTTCACTGTCCTGAGTCCTCCAACCAGTAATTCTATAATCAAGCTGGTCATTAATATTTGCTTGATTAAATTTCTATACAGAAGATAGGAAGTTCGTAAAATTTCTCTCGTTGGTCAATAACTGTTATTGCAATGTTATCAATAGGGTTTGCCAGTCCCCTTCTGTAAGACTCACCTTCCCCATTATGATGAAATGATTACTTTGGAAGATGAAAAGGAGGAAGAATCTGAAACAAAATACCTGGCTGGAAAAACTGGTCTTAGTGGTGGATGGAGAGGATTTGCCATTGAACATGATCTAGTTGACGGAGATGCATTGGTATTCCAGCTTGTCAACCCTAAAAGATTTAAGGTGTGCCTTCATAACCCATAAAACTTATACTTTATTTATCTCACAATATTTGGATTAGACACTGTTGAATGTTGTGTGATTGATCTGTTGTACATTTCTGTCGGTAAGTACTTTTTTTTGCTGGTGCATACAATATTAATGATGCAAACTAAATGTTGAACTGCAAATTGTATGCAAGTATTGTCCTTGTGAGCAAAACGGAATTATTGCCTCTGATTTGAAACAACATACTGCTTCTGTTTGAAAACTGTTGTTTGGCAGCCTGTCTATTTGAATGATGTTTCAACAACGTATTATTTGTCATTCAGATTTCCATGTTTATGCTGGTGAATTACAGCTACATGAGTTTTCTTTATGTACCAACTCCCTCAATCACTACTATTTTTTCCTAGGTGTACATTGTAAGGGCATATGATTCAGAAAACAACGAAGATCAGGAAAACTTGGAAGACAATGAGATCAAGGAAAACATGGAGGACAATGAAGACCAGGAAAAAATTGAAGAAAACGACAAGGTTTCAGATGCCACAACTTTGGAGAGGAGATACCCCAAACGAATCAGAGCAAGTAAGTGTTCTCTAGCCCTTCAAAACCTTCCATAAAAGCTAAGTCTGTAGATACTCCATTTGGGGATGGGGCAACCCAAATTTAATGTGGAGCAGTTTTGAGATGGAAATCACCACCAATACACCCCTTCCGCTGTGGCAGCCAAATCGAAATTCCTGCTTGCTCATTTCTTCACACATACCAGAAATAGAAAATAGAATGCTGCACAAATCAATATATCACATATATTTGGACAAAAATCAATTTACAGGATTCTTGACTTATCGTGTTGGCAGGCAAAAAATAGTGTTCGCTATTGTTGAGTAGCAGCAAGCACCTTTGGTTTCAGTGTTGGAGCTAATGGAGAAGTGACACTTTGGTCTTGACTCTGTGACGAGCCCCTGTGGAGTCAAAAGGCAAGCATATCATTCTTATTTAGTAGCAAAGAAACAGAGGTGACGAACTGCCCTTGTAATGTTATGCTTGCTTCGTGATTATTTAGGTTTTGTTTCGGGAACTGCTATCATCTTACTTCTGGTCTGTCTCAAGGTCCCATAAGATCTTACTTTTGGTGTTTGCAATGGTAATGACCCTTGAGAATTCCCTAAAGAGATGTCTTAATCTATTTGGCTTGTGAGACTAGCATGAACTAAATGAAGGAGGCAAAACCGAGGGTTTTTCAAAGTTTTGGATCCAAAACCGTTGAAAATATCCACCGTGATCAAGGCATGAAATAGTTTTTCCTTGAAAAGTTTTTAATAAGAATGGATGCAAATGAAGACCGGACATAGCCAAAAATAAAAGCACAGGTAGAAGCCGAAAAGGCGTGGGACCATGACTGAAAGGGCCTCATGGCCTTGAATTGCATTGGCTACTAAAGCAAAAATAATGTTCTCCGGCGAAAACTAAGAAACATTTGAATCAACCACCTCAATTTTTCATTTCAAATCTCCTATGGCTAAGTATTTAAAATTCATTGCATTGAAGTATCCAAAAAGAGAGAACCCATTGCATTAAACAAGAGAAAACAAATGATGAAACTCAGACGTAGGTAACAGGTTTTTGTTATTGTAGTTTATTAAACAGAACTTAATAAATGAGATGATCTGGATAGACAGCCTTCAAATCCCTTGCGTGCCATGTCCACACTGATCCGCTTGACAAAAAATGTAAATTATACTTGGAAACAGAGGCCTGTTTGCTCGGTCTGGGTGAAAATCTGTACAACAATATTCTCCTCCCACCTTATTTAACTTCTATCCGATTTACACTTATCATGATGGCTTTATTTTGATGGATTTTCTTAGGATCGTTTTACTAGCCTCTTTGGACCAGCTTCAAACTCAGAGTAAGATAGGGTCGAATCTTCTTCCAAGCACGAACTAATTTATTCAAACCAAGAGGTGGCTGTTGAGAGAGGTGATTTCACAGCATATGCTCATAATTTTGACATTTGTTCACTGAAGGTTGGATCGATGCAAACAACCACCTGTAAAATATATGTTGTAAAGCTTAAGCCACCGTGATCATGATCTTTCTAAAGGAAAAACATCAAAGAAAAAAAAAAAAAACAGAACAGAAGAGCATCCTGCGCACCTTGCCAACACTTTTACCCGAGTGAAGGTACTCAACAGCATCGGCAACAGAATGTAAGCCTACAAATCTTTTCTGGTCTAACGCAACCTATTACAATTGTATAAAAGCAGTTCAATCTGAGGAGTTCAAGTTGACTAGCAACGATGACTGCATGAGACAATTTTTGCAAATGATATTAACATTATAAGCAGGAAAGGTGGATTATCTTTCCATTTTAATTTGGGGGAGAAAAACTCCCTTTCCCTCTCTTGCTTGGCTTTATTCTATTTCTTCCTGCTTCACTCGCCATTATTAGTCAAGAAAAAAAACTTGAGCTTCTATGCTACATCCAAGCTAAAACACATCTTGTGGACATCATGAATATGCAAAACTATTTACAATGTCTCTTTAGTTTTAGCCAAGCATAAAAAGGCAGTAGAAGGTCAATCAACATATGCTTTGGAAGAGCAATCCAGTGAGTGAGAAGGGAAAAAGTTAACACCTTTATTAATTTCTTTGATAGAAAGAGGAAAGTACGAAGAGAGTTTGAAATAGGGGGCCAACAAAGCAATTTAAAATATACCACATACAGTTATCATAGTTTGAGAACGGAAACAGAGAAGTCTTCGAAAATAATAGAACCAGATGAGAGAATTACCTTGAGCTTTCCAGAAGCGAACATATTATATAATCTGTCCAGATGCTGTGCCCACAAGTGAGTATGTTGTAGCAGAAAAAAACCAGCCTGTAATCAACGAAAAGGAAGAAAAGAACGCCAGTATTTTTATCTCCTCCAAGATATTCAATATAATGGGCCAATTGATTGCTGATAAACATTTAAGTTTTTTCCCCATCCTAAGAGCACAGAATACGCTCTGTGGCACATCCATGCCTCAAATGGAAAAACCCAAGCAAATCAAGATTCACAAAAACTTTAGGCATCAACAGGGAAGAAAATAATTGAGTGCATTCAAACATGGAGAAGAAGCTAATGATGAGCTTACTTAAGTGGAGTTTACTGCAAGTTAGTATATTCTACGAAGATGGTCATGAAGGGAGAAAATAGTTTGAAAACAACTCTAACCCCTCAACCTTGACATACAGACCACTTCTGTTGTAGCACTTGAGCTGGGTATTTTTAGAGTTTTCAGTTCTAAATAATATCATCAAGATTAGTATTCACTTGAGATATTTATTTAGTTAGTGAACAAGGGCCAGTGGTAACGCAAACTGGCCAAGCAATGGAATTGAAACATTTAAAAAGCAAGATGTTCTTGCAATGCATACAAGAAACAAAATCATGCTAAATAGTCACTTCTCAACTCAGTAAGGACATCAAATATTTCATGCAATATGAAAGTTGGAATGTAAAATAAAGAACTTTAGCTTCATAAAATGGTATGGAAGTGTCTAATGGCACCACATTCATAGTCTAAAAGCTACATACCACAGTTTGACTTTTAGCTAAAATCTTCTCACAGAGTCCGGTGTAATTAGCTGGTTTCCATCCATGCTCTCCCTGATACTGGAAAAAAAAAAGAGAGAATGAATCAACTTACGGGCAATGTATAATGACCAGTTACAATAAGGACAGAAATCCATGCTGTTGTCTTTACAAATCATAGGAAGTAGAAGTTGATAATTTACAACGTCAATTAAGGCAGAAGAAATTGCAAATTGTCAATTGCACATCAATACCAGACACATGTAATGTAGTATGCTCGAGGGCAATCTTATAAATTTAGCCATATGATCATTATTCAATTTGGAATACAAGAAATCTAATATGAAGTAAGGAATGGGAATTGACACGATTATGTTGACCACTTAAATTCGAGTATCAGACAAATAGTATTGAGTTTGTCCATCAACTTCCATGCAGATGATGATGAATTTCATTTTACACAAGTTTTTTTAATTGTTGATAATGTAAGACCTAACAATTTGTGAACATGAGAATCACTAGGCTAAAGTAAATAGTAGTTTGTCTTCAGAAAAGTTACACGAAAGTGGTCTATACAACTATAAACTTAAGTAACTTTAAAGTTTGTGATAAAACTAGAGACAGTAATTTAAAAATGAGAAAAAGGAGAATAAAAATAAACCGCAATCAGTTGAGAAGCTTGTCAGAAAAAGCAACCTGAGAAATCATTCCGATCACAATGAGTCGTCCGTGGACCGTCAATGCATTCAAACACAAATCAAACATGTCCCCACCGACAGATTCATAGATGATGTCAATACCTTTTGGAAACTCCTTTCTTAAAACCTGACAGAATTGAGTCATAAAATTCCCCAAAACTCAGCAATCAATAGAAAAGAGCGAAGTAAAAACAATTGGGCAGCTCATAAATTTGCTATAATCAGATCCCACAATCTCCTATACAAGTGTGAATTTTACTTGGCAACACTGAAGGCCTTTTGCACATTTAATATCACAGATCACTTATGAAAAACCGACAACAACTTTGTACCATATTTGTGCAAGAGAAACACAACTAAATAAAAATTCTTTAGGAATGAGCTCTAAAATTTTATGCAAAATAGCTCATATTTCTGTCTTAGAGATGTTTTTAATATCTGACTTATATAGTGGGCCAACAAATGGGTTACGTCCAAATGCATGGGCTTAATTCTGCACAGTTTCTGCACAGTTTTGATAAGACTATTGTGTTTGTTGGGAGGAGGTAAGAAGGAGCAGAGATATTAAGCAGCCCTATTTGATGAATCAGTAATTCATTGCATGGCATAAAATTTGGCAGACATAACAAAATTAAGAAACTAAGATAGAAATTTTGGATGAATGCCCCTGTGTCCTCCTCCTTCTCTTCAATTTATAGAAGTATTTACATAGAGAAAATAGGCTGATTTGCCTCTGACTACAGCTGTATAATCTAAAGAGAGATTATAGGCTGATTCTTCTCCTAGAATATTCTAATTACAGCTGTATAATTTATAGGCTGATTTGTCTATGGAAACAATCTAATATTACAGCTGTACAATATAACTGAAATACATATAAGTTATATCCTATCTAGATATGGTAACAAGACATACCGTTTTCATATCTTCAGCTTTATAATCTATGACTCGATCAACTCCCAGTTGTTTTAAAAGAATTGCCTTTTCCTTACCTCCACAGGTCGCAACTACTGTATTTCCTGCCAACTTTGCTAGCTGCAATTTAAGTATTCACGATGTGCAATCATTGCCCATGTGAATATGGAGATTAAAAATCAATAATTCAGCAAAGAAGGAAAGTGCTTTTACGGTAAGAACATGGGAAAACATAAATGAAAACTGAATGCTGAACTACTCACCAAGAAGAAGAAATCTATGCAGTAAAAGGAAGCACATAAAAGATATGGCATATTTTCCAATATTTATGGATGCCATCATGGTTTGCTTATATGTCCACCTCTATCTTATAGAGACACACTAAAAGCTTAAGTATTGCTCCAAAATGCATAGTATAAGGAGAATACCTTTGCAATTCTCTCTTCTTGTTGTAATATGATTGTATCACGTGGTTTTTGCAAATCACTCATGAACTCATTTCCTTTTTCTTAGACGATTATCAACAACAGTTTATTTGATTTTTGCGACATGTTAGATAATATAAAGTATCATTTGAGGTACTACTGTAATTGAACCTTTTGGGTCTTTCAGAAGGAAAAATTCTATAGCTTTGATTAAAACCTGAATATGTTTAAATCCCTGTGACCTCTGTTTCGAAAGGAACAACACAAACTTCCCTTTTCATTCTCATACTGCTAGTTCTCCAACGGATGATCTTTTAAAACAAGTGGAAATTTTTTCAAATGACATTCAACGATAATTTAGCTACAATCATACAATTAGAATTACTCTTCCTGTTGACAATGAGAATCATATCTATACAATTTTGCACTACTCAAATGTATAATCTGTTTTGATATTCCAAGTAGATGATATGCAATTGGAATGTAAAATAAATTGAAATAAAAAATATGAAAGCAGTAGCACAGCTTGGATCACATTCAGCAGAGTCTACTTTAAGGATGAAGAATTGAAGACCATTCATGTGTGAAAAAAGTAAACCTGGACAGCAAATTGACCAGTCCCTCCTGCAGCGGCAGTCACAAGAACTGCTTCTCCAGATTTCATTTGTCCACACTAAAATTTCCACAATGTAAAATATTGTCAGAAGAAACAAAGCAAATTGTTGTAAAGATTAGTGTTAGATAGATTCTAGAAAATATTAAGACATTGCCAATGACTACCAAATCAAATATAAATTGATAGAAAAAAGAAGACTACTTGGCCAGAATTAACATGTGAAAAGGACACAACCTTTTCAAGAGCAATTGATGCAGTCATCCCAGAAGTCAGCAAGGCAACAACTTCAGGATCTGGTCTAGGAACGGGAAGGATATGCTTTGCAGGAATCTAAATTGAGTACAAAATCCATTATAAACTTAACACTAGCATATTCACAAAATGAACATTTATATATCTAACAATATTTTTTTTATATTATCTAAAAGCCCAATATGATGTGGATAATGAAGCAAGTCTTGCTGACAGCCCAAGATTGAAAACAATTCTGTTCGGGACTTTATACCACTGTGAATTCAGCATAACTCCCAAAAGTCATGAGTGCAGCAGGAGTGCCAACTTTCAAGTCAGTGACAGATTCCCCCACTGCTGCAATTATTCCCACTGCCTGGAGACAAACGACATAAACGTCAAGTCTAACCATAAATATTGATTGTCTGGAGAGTATTATAATTAGCAGCCTCATGATCAAGATTATCTTATGGCATTTTAATATGCACCTCAAAACCAACATCGAACGGAAGACTGGAGGTAAGGTCTTCATTCTTGCCAGAGAAATAACGACCGGAGCTGAAATTCACCTGCTCAAAAGTTCACAACAAGTCTTTGGTTAGGTATGCAATGCAGAAGCACAAACACACACACAGACAAACTTGGAGGTTTAGGAATCCATCTCCATATTGAATTTGGACTACTAAAACTCTATAAATAAGCATGTAGGCTTTCAATATTTGAATAAAGGTTTATGAATAAAATTCCTGCAATTTGCTTTTGATTGTGTGACTCAATCTCCCTTGGTATGAAGCTTAGGTTTTTCTATCCTCTAGGTGTGACACCTAGAAACCCTATTAGTGTGACTAATATTTCTACAATTTCCAGCAGAAATCCACTTTAATACAACCCCAAACAACCCTGAATAGCCTCTGAAACTTAGATTCAGAACTGCCCCCTAAGCTGTGCTGCATCCCAAATGACTTGACAAGATGAGTTTTTCTTTTTCCAGCATATTTCACAGCCTTCACATTTTTTTTATATAAATAAACAGGTCCTTGTTCTGTGAATTAGCTGTTTTTTTCTGATCAAATCCTCTCTGAAGTGAAGAAAATAGCAAATAATTCAACACACCTAGCCAGTTTGCGCAGGATTATAATCTGCTTCACAAAAACTTATATTTATGATCAATCATCCCATCATTTCTATAACCATCTAAAAGATCTAAATCAAAGCCAAACAATCGCATTGTTGCTGCAACTGGTAACTGGTTACACAGTCAACCAAACAGTTCATCTTTTTCAAACAACAGGTTTTAGTCTGGAACAACAATCAATGACCAAAAAAGAAAATGTAAATTAAAGTAAATTCTTTTGGGGAGAGCCAGGAACTTACATCACTAGCATTTACCCCAGCATAAATGACTTTCACAAGAACTTGATGTGATCCAATGGGTAATCTCAATGGTGTGCCTACTACGTGGGTGGCGTTGCGAAAATTATGGCTCAGGGTATGAACAACTCTGAACAGAAAAAAATAAAATGTATTGGTCACGATCACTAACTGATTGGCAAATTCTCGCCCTTTGATTTGTACAATGATAAAGTGATTGACAAACCAGTTGATAAAAAGAGTTACATGTATGCTTTCTTCTGTGAGATAGAATAAGGCAAATTAAAGAAAACCAAGTAAGCATGAGGCTTATATTTGTCAAATTCACAAGGTGAGCACCTTACAGAGATAGTAGTATCTTTAAGAACCTGTCATGAAACCAATTCCAAACATTGCCATGAACCAAGTGGCTTAGCATGTATAAGTGGTAACGAAAAAAATGCCTATATATCATTTACTTAATCATTATACATACCAATAACTTATACAAGTACTTTTAGCAGTCTTCCATCTTGACTTTGCTTCCATTGGTTAGTGATTTTACTACTAGCATGCCATTTGTGAAATAAATCAGTAAGCTGAGAAAGGAATAGAAGGGAGTGTCTATGCAATAATTTTGGAGCTTTAAATATGAGGAAAAGAGAATTACAAAGAACAAAGCATGGAAGGCTGGCATCACTATCTTGATAAAGCTAAATCTAGCAAAGTATTTAACAAATGTGAAATGACATTGCATTGAAGTCTAATAAACAAATATTTCCATAAAAAAAGAAGTCGTAAGCTTCACTTAGTTTCACTCACAGTTTCTCATAACTCTGAGGAAGTTGAAGATCCAGTGGGGCTCGGTATGACACCCTTCTTTTGGAATTTGAGGGGCGCACCTTGTATTTTGCTTCTTCCGAGGGAGTGGGCCAATACTCCATGCCTCTACGATTTGTAATCCACAGGCAAGAGCCAGCTTTACTCTCATCACTGATAAGCTCAAAAGCACCTTCAAAAGGTAGACACATTGGAGTTTCAGAATTTTGCTCTAGAGACAACTGATATCAGAAACCAGTGTCAGGAAAAAGAACAAGGTTCAGTAACAACTGATTAGTATATAACAAAAAGCCACTAGTGTAACACAAGGGGGCATTAAAAACAACTAAAGAATTTTTAGGATCTTGTACAAGTTATTGGATAAAAGTTTCTCAAGTACAGAGTAGCAATCCAATACTGACATTATTAAAGATTTCTGAACTTATAAATTAATAGTTACTTATTTGCAAGAAATATTTGTCATATACTATACCTTTGACCACCATGTTCATAGAAACAAAGCCTCCCATCATGTCAATAAATTTAGAATCCACTTTCTCTCCCATCTCTGTTTTGACAAACTGCATCCAATTTCCAAACGGATTAAACAGACTATCCGCAGTAAAAAGCACACCCACTGTGCACTTGCAAATTCGTAGATAAAATTAAAATGTCACACTTTGAATCGATGCTTAATTAAAAGTTCAAAAAAAAAAAGGATGGAAAAGAAAAGGAATAGAAAGAAGACAGTTGTTTTCATAAAGATAAATACTATCGACATAAATCAGGAATAGAAATATATAATCCTGACACTATACCAAGAAGAATAACCGAGATTAATTTATGCTGATTGTAAGACCACTCCAAGAAGAATAACAGAGATGAACTTACGTTATAGTTGCCCATTTGACTTCCATCCAAAATAGTTTACAGATAGCATAAAGTGATAACCATGGACTCAGAAGCTTAAGTTGTCATATGATAAATTTAAATTCTATATTTACTTATGAGGGTCTGGGTTTGTTTTTTTTTTTTTTTTTTCGTGATGAATGTTAGTGAAGGAAAAGAGAAACAAATAGGAAAAAATTATTCCCCTGTATACTCTTTTAGAAAGAAAAAACTCCAACGAAACCAGTGAAAAGAAAAAATGAGGATAACTAGTAGAGCTACACGAGCCTCAATGTCATAGCCTAACCTCAGGGCAAAGCACGTTGATGCGGATACCATGGCGTTTGTATGGAACAAGTGATCTAGTGAACATAACAACACCACCTGAGAAACAAACCTTGTAAGCATCAGATTATTCGAAATAGAATATGAGTCAGCACTGGTCTGCATTGTCATGTTCGTTGATTAGAAAAAAGTAAGAACCAATCAACAAAAAAAAAAAAGTGGAGGAAAAAAAATCAGCAGACCTTTAGAGCCAGCATAGATAGGATCGTTATACATCGGATAAAGACCAGAAGCAGACCCCAAGTTTATAATAACTCCAGGCTTCCGTGCAGCTTGCATAGCTTTTATCTGTTCAGAAATTGCAGGTAGTAATTATTCAGTCACCAAGTATTTTCATCAGCAAACAAATGAAACATGAGAAGAGCAGGCAGAATTACCGCAAGGTGAGTACAATCAATTACTGCAAGGAAGTTCACATTAACAGTATGCTTCCACGAACGAGTACCATCTGTTTCGTCGTTATAAAACGGTATAGGATTACTAATTCCAGCACAGTTGATACAAATATCCATCCCTCCATATGTGGCTACATGCTTCTCAAAAGCAGCAGCTAAATCTCCTATCCACGTCACCAAAAAAAAAATCAGCATAACCATCACAACGGCACGACCTCGTCTGCAACCAAAATTAATTTTAACTACAAAATGATTATTATGAAAAAACTTACTTGCTTTTGATACATCGCATCGAATAAAAAGAGCGGACGGAAATCCCAAATTGGAATGGAATTTGGCGTTCTCTTTCTCGATAAGTGACGCAACTTCCTTTCCTTTTTCTTCAGAGAAATCAATAACTGTCACGAATATCCCCTTCTCTGCAAGAGCTAAACTAAGCGCTCTCCCTAAATACACAAATCATAAATACATAAAAATGGAAGGATTAAATAATGTCAAGTTCAAATATCATGAAATTTGAAGCATCTCTTGCATTTTATCCATGAAATTAAAATCAAACACGTTAATCATAATTCAACACAATTTCAAGAAATGAAAAAAAAATCTAGAAGTTCACTGAATCGAAATTTTCAAATAATGTGAAACTGATTTTACTAGCAGATGTTCATCAATCCAAAAGGTACTTTTGAGTCGCTGGTTTTATGGCTCGTAAATCACAAAAGCGAAAAAGAAAAATACCGATTCCAGAGGCACCGCCAGTGACTATAGCTGATAAACCTTGTTTGATTTCCATTTCTATTTTTGTTTTGCTTTTTGCAGGTTGTTCAGAGATACTATACTTTTGGTTTTGATAACAGAGCGGAGAGGGGAGAGAGGCTAAACTATTTAAATGATTGGCTTCGATGACAGAAGGGACTTTGTCGTTTTCTGAATCGTTGGGTTCAAAAATCGAGGCGATGATTCTAATCAATAACCTTCATCTGGACAAGCAATGTTCTAACGAGGAATTAATGGCCGTATCGTTCCTTGAACACGAACTTCTTGCACTGTTTGAACCTTACGATTTCACAAGAATTGATTTTATTTCATCTATTTTAATTAATTCGTATGTTTGGAATCAAATAATTGATTGTGGAATTGATCTCCACCATTTAAAAAAGGAAGAATTTCGTCTCCCATCCAAACGGATAGCGGAGGAAAAGGAAATAGTTTTATATTTGTTTGACATTAACTAATTATTTTAAATTTATTTCTTTTTAAAAAATTCAATTTTATTATTTTAACAAATAAATCATTTTGACTTGATTTGTTACTTCATTCACTCATCTTCAATTAAAAACAAGAAGGAAAAAAAAAAAAAACCTTTCAACCGCTTTTTAGTGAGGAAAAAAAAAGAGAAAAAAAGAATTTTTAAATTTATAACAACCAAAATTTGAGCACAAATGGGTTATAAGAAAAGGATGGAGTTTTCACATGAAATTGGGGTTAATGATTCCATTTGTTTTCATATAACAAAAAAAAAAAAAAAAACATTTTATTTTTATATTTTTAATTAAATCAATTTTATTTTTAAAATATATGTTAAGTTTATAAACTATCACTGTAATAAAATTTTTAAATCAAATTATCAAAATTAATAGCATGATTGCATTTGAAAATCTTCTCTTATATGAACAGTATGATAATAAAAAATAATTATATATAAATTACGTAATTACTTTTAATAATTTAACTTAAAAATTTTATTAAATTGATAGATAAGAAATTTAAAAGATATATAAAAATAAAAAAAAAACTTAATTAAAAATATAAAAACAAATTAAGTCAAATTCATAAACCGGCCGAGAGTTTCTTTACACTTTATTTTCATAGCCAACTCAGTCTCCCACTTGTTGTAACCCACACTCCAATCAAAGAAGACAAACAATAGCATCAAAATGTTTGTTTCTCATTGTCCTGACACGGCGTCTATTCTTTGTTAATTTTTGGTTGATATTCGTTGTTAATTAATTTCCTTTTGAAGTCCTTGGTATCAAAACAAATCGACAAGAAAAGTAAATTATAAATTAGTTTCTTTAGTTTTTGAAAAAGAATTAATTGGTTTTTTTTTAAATAATAATTATTTAATTTATTGATCAGTACTAACTATACTTAATTTAATATTATTTCATTTTAAAAATTCTCTTTTTTTATAATATCTATTTTTTATGCTTTCTCAAAATAAATTAAAAAAACATACAAAAGAAAAACTAAATAATTAGTTTTTAAAACAAAATAAATTAATTAATTTTTTTAAAAAAATTAAATGAAATAATTTGTAATTTATTTGCGAAAGGATACCCATGTTGACTTTTGCTGAATTACATGGGTCTCTCTAGATGGCAGCTTTTTAAATTTTAAGGCAGCATTTGATCTGTTTCGGTAAAAATTAGTAAAATTCTCATTTTAATGATTTGATCAATTTCATAATAAATTATTATGAAATTATATATAAAATTAAGAAAAAAAATCTTTTTTAGATGAAATTCAATTATAACTATTTAACTTTATCTCGATATCAAAACTTAAAAAATATCCAACGATCTTTTATATATATATATATATTAAATTTTAAAAGATATATAACGGTGTATTAAAGGTTTTAAAACTCAAATTATTTAGCAGAATTAAAAAGATAGACTGCAAGTAATAAGGAGTATAAAAAAACATATTTTTTATTAAATAAATAAATAATTGATTAAGTGATATAAAAAGGGCAAGAAGGAATAACTTACAATAAAATTTAAATTTTTATATGAATTGAATTTTCTAACTCTATAAATGCAACTAGTAGCTTTTTTTTTAACCATTTTTATATTTTTTTGAAGAACGTTTTAAGGGTCAAAATCGGTGCTTTCATCCACTGCAATTGAGTAGCCCATGTGTATCAAAATCGTAGCTATCAAAAGGATGCCTTCTCTGTTATATATATATATTAGAGATATTCTTGTTATGGTTCTCGGTCTAGAGCACGCACTTCATTGCTAAACCAATGTTCAATAAAAGACAAAGTACAACGGCATTTACTACGCCATTAACTTGAAATGCTTTTCACTCCAATTAAGTACACGAGCTAAAAGCGCTTTATTAGCTCAGTTCAATAACTAGCTCGATCATGTCAGATAGAAGGGTTATAATACTCTTCTATTTCTTTGTTCGAGCGAATCTAAATTGCCATGCCATAAGTCTAAATCGTGTCCATAAAATTGTTATTATTGGCTGTGGACTGCTTAGGGATGCAGCAGGTACATGGATACATGGTTTTTCACGCCAAATATGTACCTGTTCTGTTTCGCGTAAAGAGCTATGGGGCATATTGGTTGGCTTGGAATTTGGTACATCCGAGCACCCTCTTGGAAACGAACTTCATGACAGCTGTCCGTCCACCTACTTCGGTCTCCAAAGGATCATAGTGGAAATTATGGTCAACTATTTTTCGGCACTTGTAAGCTTTTACAAAAACCATTGCAAGTTCGTGTCTGTAGTACGTACGGAGAAGTCAATCACATGGGTGTTTTGTATTTTGAACATGTTCGAGAGGATGCATTAGTCTTTTTCTTTGGAGGATATTTGTGGGTAATCACCCCCAAGATTATGTATTATCTAATTTTTGTTTTGAGCTTTGCCTCTTCCATGAATTAAAAAAAAAACTAAAATTTCTTCAAAATTAGAATTAAAATAGTTAACTTTAATTGTGCTCCAATTAAACCGATCCTATGCTTTGCATTTGGCATCCTAATCTTGATCCTGTTCTCCTCTTTTAGGTTCAGCTCGTTATTTATGCTCCATTAAAACACGGATCCAAGATTTTCAAAATAATCAATCGGTTTTTCCCATATTGGATCATGTATTCTTTTTGATTTTTTTTATTGAAATTCCATATATATTTTTTCTTGATTGAGACATTCTATTTTTTAAGATTTATTGCTTCAGATCTCTATTATAGCACTATTAATTAATGATCAACATGTCACTTCTATTCTTCAAAATTTATTATTTTACAATATAATGCATCGATCATCGATTAGTAACGTTGTAAAAGAGAGTTTGAGGTAAGAAATCTCTAAAAATAAAAAATAAAATCAAGCTAAAAAAAGGAAAAGGTCTTAATAATATATATAGGATTCAAATACAAAAAAAAAAAACCCCAATAATCAATATATAAAGACTAATTTCTATTAATTTCAATTGCTTAAAAGTGAAATATTAAAAAGTTTTATTCAAACCACGATTGACAAACATACGAATGATGGTACTCCCAGTAACTAAGTTCAATTTATTTTAGGATACTTTGTACCTCATATTGAAAGTTTTGAGGTTGCAATTTTTCATGGGGTGAGGGAACGGTCTAATTAAAGTTGATTTATTTATTTGTTTGAAGTCTAGAAATTAATGCAAGCTCGAGTTTTTTTATAATTTATCTTATCATATTTTTGTGAGAACTTGAAAGTGAAAATTAAAACTATTTAATTAAGATCCCTCTCTAGGAGGAGGTGAAGACTATTAGATTGCAACCACTAAAGCGTAATTTAAACGCAATTAATGATGCGAGTCCAATTTGTTAAATTTCCCCTAGCAATTTTGACAATCCTTTATAGAAGCAATGAGGTGAAGATTGTTAGATTGCAACTATTGGAACATAATTAATGATGCAACATTCAATTTGTCAACTTTCCATAGCCATTTTGGCAATTGCTCATGTTTGGCGGAACCTATGCGAGGAGGGAAGATAAAACTATACATTATGGTAGTGATTGATGAGTAATGGATTGATTCATCTAATAAAATTAAAATACGTAGCACATGCAAACGATGGCAAGAGCTCGATGATTGTGGTCGAAGTTTCTCCACGTTATATACTCGCAAAACAACTCTCTTTAGTAGATGAAGGATCTTTCGATGCTCAAGGTAATAGTCGAAAAGTGCTAAATTGGCATGAAAAGGCTCTCTTGTGCTAGTATATACTAGTTCATGTTTAGGTTTATAGAAGGGAGAGAGTTGTACATGATATAGAACCCGTATGTAAAATGCTTTCCTTAATAAGAATTTTGTGGTTAAAATGTTGGAATTCCATAATGGAACCTTAGAAACCAATAAAGTTGGAGTCTTAAAAAATTTAGATCTTTACGTTTGTGATAGTTCAAACATTTATATAGGTAATTGTTGGTGTAACTTGCACATAATAGATGTTTCTTTTTGTTTTTTTAGTTAATATTTTGCTATCATTGTATTTGATTATATAATCGTGTCGGTGCAATCATAATGAATAATGATCCGATTATCGTCATCATTGGATATTCTTCATTAAATGCTTTGTCTTTAGGTGATAATGAAAAAGTATAACAACTTCGTTTTCGAACCCGGGAATCCTAAGATAGAAGGATTCGAGCTTTCTTTGCGGGATGGCCCTCTTTATGAGTAGTTATTGTTCTTTGAAGAAATTTGGATTCATTTAACGAGTTGCTCTTCTCAATGAGCTATGGACTTGAGTTAGGCCTAATAGATAACCGCAAGCTCGTGGACTCTTTATGTTGGACTATACTGAGGAAAGACTCTTAATCGATGATTTAGTTTATCTTTTTTTTCATAGTCTACGATTGATATATAATTGCTTAATTTTTTATTTTTCATTTTTTGAGAATCCCAATCACGGTAATAGTTTGGTGACACTTATGATATATTGGTTGATACAAATTTATTACCTTATTTTTGTTAACATTGCCTTTGCACATCTTTTTTTAATCGATACAAAAGGTCCTTTTTCGTATAAATTTATATCTATTAGATCTATTTTATGAAGTAAATTCTATCATACAAAACTTCATTTACAAATAGTAGAATTTTTCTGGTTCTTTTCTTTTTAAAGAACGAATTTTTGCGGATGTATAGTGGTAGACTAGTAGGACACTCGAGGTCCACAAATTATAGTTCTAAATATTTGAAATCCACCCAATCCACGAACTAGCCACGGTTTGAACCTAGGACTAGCTCGATAGGGCATCACTATAAGTGTCTATCACTAAGTTAATTCTTACCATGGTGAGTGTTAAAAAGTAGTATAAAATAATTTTTAGAATTTTAAATTTTTAAATTGAGATATTTTTTTATCATGGTATGCAAATCTTAATAATTAAAATACGAGATAATATTCATGGCACGAATGGTTTCTATTTAATGAGATATGTTAAGAAGTAATATAAAATCAAAATTTTCATTTAAATATATACTATAAAGTAATATAAAATTATTTTTTTGACCTCATGTATTCGTACTTAAATATGATTATGATACACCTTAAAAGTTAAAAAATAAAATACATAGATTAGAAGATTCTCTTTTTTTTTTTATTCAAGAAAGACTAAATGTATAGTACGTTTGGATTCTCTCATATCTCAAATCTTATTATTACTTTTGAATTCAATTGTCAAGATTAAATAATATAAATAAAATAATAAAAAGTTATTTTTTTTATTATATGCTAGATTATATTACTTAGATTTATCGAAATTGACAAAACACAATAAAGAGAAATAAAAGATGATCCATTTATGATTAGCATTAATATATCATAGAAACCACAATTCACTTTCTCCATACCATAGCATCAATTCGAATGTGGAAATAAACGAGAGCTAGTGTCAAGTAACTTATGCTATACATACATACATACAACAAATCATGGAGTTTTTATCAATCGACAAGAAGTCTATCTGTGCGTGAAAAAAGAAGTTTTGTTATTTTGTTTTTCAAGACTGGAGGAAAAAAATTAAAAAAAAAAGGTTTTTTTGCATAAAAAAAAATTAGAACTGATTTTTTTTAACTAAATGCATAACGTGATTATAATGGGTTAATGGTTGCAGAGGTCTGCCTATTATTCTTTTCATTTTTATCGTGTCCATCTACTTTTTTCATTTTAAGTTCATCCTTTTAATTTTGATGTTTGTCTTAATCTCATCTTCTTGTCAACTTTTGAACTAACATTGTTAATTTTTTTTTTACCTATATTTATCTCACCTCTCTACTCTATTTTTTTTTTGTCTTAATCTTTTTTTATTGAATTTAAACCAATAAATTTTAAAAAATAGGAAAATAGAAATAAAGTGAAGATATATCTAGTCATTTTCTCTAAAAATTGAAAATAAAATAAAGGTGAAGATAAAAATATATTTATCTAAAATATTATTTGTGGATTTAATTTTTTTTTATGATAATAAGCAAATTTTGAATATAAAATAAAATATTTATAGTATTTTTTAAATATGAAAGAAATTTTAGTTAAAATTTTAAAATTAAGAAATTTATAAAATCAAAATTAGCAAATTATAGTAGGCTTGTTTGAGGTGGTATAAAAATATAAATATCATTCAAAAGTTTAAAATTCAACTTAACTTTCTTCACATTTTTTAAAAAAATTTATAAATATTTTATTTTATATTTAAAATTTGATTAATATTATAGAGATAAATTTACACCCATAACATATATTTTGGATAAAAATAACTTTACCTTTTTTTACAGTTTTTTTTTTATTTTCCAAAATTTATTTATTTATATTCGTTTTAAAAAAAAGATTAAGACCAAAACATAGTGTTGAGGATGAGATTAAAACAGAAAAAAAAACGTTAATGACGTTAGTTTAAAAATTATCAAGAAGACGAAATTAAGACAAAGATCAAACCTAGAGAAATAAACTTAAGATAAAATACAGAATAAAGAGACACAATAAAAACAGAAAAAAAGAGTAGAAAAACCTCTACAACATTAATAAAGCAAGTTAATTTTCACGTGAAAGTTTTTTTAATAAAACTAAATGAAATAGTATTAACTAGTTGGATTCCTACGTTACACTCGTAAGTTGAATTAAACATATTTATTTCAGTTTGTTTACATAAACTATATTGTCGTCAATTAAAATATATTAAATTAAATGTAAAATATAAATTTCATCTAATTTTATAATTTTTAATCAAAATTACATATCTAATTTATTTTTTTATATTTTGAATAAATTTTTTAATTAAAAAAACATGACTTGTTCTTTCTTGTGTATTTATTCTTAAATAAAAACCCATAATAAACTAAATTTAATATAATATTTTAATAAATGTCTTAATATTTTTTTCATAACATTGCATTGAAAATATAAAACAACAATTAATATAAAAACTTATCTGAAAATTAATAAATGAATATATTTCACTGATGAAAAGAATATATATATATTTTTTGAAAATATGTACATTTGATTTATATGTATATTTATCTACAAAATAATAAATAATATTAATATAAAAAAATTGCATTTGAATTATTAGGCAATCGTTCTAGAACATTTTTCCATTATTTTATTTGAAATAAATCAATTTTAAAATGTTAAAAAATTAATAGAAACTGGTTGCTATTATGTGTGATGCATAGTTGATTTCAAATAAAATCACCGACTATAATATTATTATTTTTTATATATCATGATCGTACTTATTAGGTCAAAATGTATAGCATAAATCGAAAAATATTTTTTTGAAAAAATTTAAGCTGTTAAGAATATATTGAAGCTAATAAAGTGCAATAAAAAATTACAAAATTGATTTTAATAAAATTTGACTATATAAATAATAAGAAAATAAAACACTTGAATGCTATTCTTAAATTTTGATTGTATAAGAATTAAGCAAATAAAAATAGCTACAAAAAAAAAAACTTATTTGAAAATCCATATCTAGAGAAAATAAATCATATGTATTAATAAAAAAATTACATACAAAATAAAAAATAACTTGGTGAGAATTTTTATAAGGAATGAAAAATTGAAAATATCAATTTTAAACAACAAGAGTTATATATATATATATATATATGTTTATTCTAAAATATAAAAATATATCATATGTATTACATCATCATCAATTTGTATAAAAATGAAAATAAATAATAACAATTGGTTTCTCCTAATTTTCACATTTAATTCAATAAAAAAAAATCAATGAAAAAAAAAACAAAGAAAAAAAGAAAAGAAAAAGAAGAGGCAAGCTTGGGTGCCTGGCTTCTGCAGGCTCAAGGCAAGCCTATGCAACTAGGCTTGCTTTTTGCAAGCTGCGTGCTTGCAGCTGCCCAAGAGACCAAAAAGTTCATTTTAAATCTTCAGGTTTCAAAATGAAATATGATGTAAATTTCGAATATTAATTTTCAAAAACTACTTCAAAATCACAAATTTGTGATCCTCGGTTACAGTATATGAACAATAACATGCGAGGAGATGAACACTATTCAAAAACTATATGTCTTTAGAGAGTTTTGTAATTTATAATGTAATGGAATACCTTTTAACAAAAACACTTGCTAGCAAAACTCAAAAAAAAGAAAGAAATTATATAAACTTTGAACCTTTTCTCAATAAAATATATAAACTTTATTTTTTTTTGAGTACATCAATTTTTTTAAAATCATCAATTAAGTACTTCCGTTAATTTTTTTGTTAATTGATGACGTGTCCGTTATCCTCAAAATACGAAATTATAATTTTGTCATTTTTTCTCAACGGAGTATATGAACTTTAATTTTTTCGTATTGAATACATCAATTTTTTCAAAATTGCCAATCAAGTATTTTTGTTAATTTCTCTATTAATTGATGATAAGTTCGAATACCAAATTACATTTTTTTCAACTTTTATTATAAGAAACTTTCTCCATAAATTATTCTTTCATTTTAAAATAAGAAAAAGAGTTAAAAAATATATTTTTAGTTATAAAATCTTGAACTAAACTTAGTAAGACTTTATGTTAAAAAAATAAAAATCAATTAGGCTTTGGGTGTGAAAATTGAAGAAAATACAAACATGAGATTTTTCATCGAGAAGATTCATTTGTGTTTTTTCTCAATTTTCACTTTTAAACCTAACTAAGTTTTATTTATTTATTTAATTTTTTTTTTACATCAACCTAATTTAGTTTAGTTTGGAATTTTAGAGATAAAAAAAATATTTTTTAATTATTTATTCAAAAACTCTATGTCTTTAGAGAGTTTTGTAATTTGTAATGTAATGGAATATCTTTTAACAAAAACACTTGCTAGCAAAACCCAAAAAAAAATAAAAAATACATACATACATACATATATTAAGAAAAAAAATAACATTATAATTTGATATTTTGAAGACATCGAACACGACATCGATTATAAAAAAATTAACAAAAATACTTATTTGATAATTTTTAAAAAATTAATATACTTAAATAAAAAAATTAAAAATTATATATTTAATTAAAAAAAATCAAAAGTTAAAAGTCGATATACTCATAATGTAATTATTTGATTCTTTCATAAGTCTAGGTTTTTTTCATCAAGTTAATAGAATTTAAATTACCGTTCCGTAAACGACGAAAAAAATTACCGTTAGTACCCGAAACCGTGCGAATTTGAAACGTGAAACATTAAAAAATTAACCGATAAAGAAAAAGAAAAAGAAAAAATAGCAAACCTCCACCCCGCAGCCTCAAAATCCATGACAAATCCGAAGCAGACCAAAACACAAACTAGTCAAACAATCATTTCTCGTTACAATTCCAATCATACCCGTCCCTCTCTCTGTCTCTCAAACAAAACACGATCCTTCTCTCTCTCTCTCCTTCTGTCTCTTGATGGAAGATATTCTAATTCATCTTCCATCACAAGCCAAACCCTAAACCTGACTTAAAAAAACCTAAATATACCTTCCAGATTCAAAATTCACGATGTTTTCGTGGAATTTTGCGAAATCGGCGGAGGCGGTACTGTCACAGTGGGCGGTGAAGAGGCTGTGCAAGTTTGTATTGAAGAAGAAATTGGGGCAGTTTATAGCAGGAGATATTGATCTTGACCAGCTCGATGTTCAACTCAGTGAAGGCACTATTCATCTCAGTGATCTTGCTCTCAATGTTGATTGTCTAAATGAAAAGGTAAAACAGTTAATTTAAGTCTTGTTAAGCTGCAAATTTTGCTCGCTGAAGTTTGTTAAGCTAAAGTTTTTAATTACATGTTTGTTATTTTTTTTAATTAAGTTTAGCGGCATAAAAAGTTGGTTATGTTTGTTAGTTGCTTCAAATTGTATAACTTTTTAGGGTTCTTTGTTTAATAATGTGTTATATATATATATTTGGTTTCTGAATTCTTTTAATTGAGGTGTAAAGTTTGTTTTCTCATTGGGGCAATCTTATTTGTTTGGATTGTGTTTTCTAGTTTGGGGCAGCGGCTTCACTGATAATAAAAGAAGGGTCAATTGGTTCTTTGTTGGTTAAAATGCCATGGAAGGGTACAGGTTTTCAGGTTGAGGTGGATGAGCTTGAGCTTGTACTTGCACCCTGTTTGAAGAAAAGTAATTCACCAGCTGGAGACGAGACTTGTAATTCTAGTCAAGAGAGTAGGCATAAGCACAAGGAGGTGGGGAAGTTTGGGACTGATTTGATGGAAAATGCTGAAAAATCTAGTTCTGTTGATGTTCATGAAGGTGTAAAGACAATTGCGAAGATGGTGAAGTGGTTTTTGACGAGTTTCCAGGTAAAGGTTAAGAAGTTGATTGTTGCATATGAGCCATATTTTGAGAAGGATGAAAAGAAGGTGGGGTGTCAAGAAACTTTGGTCCTCAGAGTACCTGAAATAGAATGTGGGACCTGTGTTTCTCAGGGTGCTAACTTAAGTCCTGATGAAAAAGTCGAGAACTTTCTAGGGATAAGTCAGTTAATGAATTTTGTTAAGTTTCAAGGAGCAGTACTTGAACTTCTCCAAACGGATGGGGTTGACAATCAAAGTTGCAGTCCATGCGTGTCAGGTTCAAGTTTTAGGGAGCAATTTTCAGGGTGCTGCGGATCAAATCCTACAACTCCTGTTGCAATAGGGAAAAACGGTGGATTTTCAGGGAATTTAAAGTTAAGTATTCCTTGGAAGAATGGTTCGTTGGACATTCGCAAATTAGATGCAGAGGTTTGTGTTGATCCTGTAGAATTAAGACTTCAACCAAGCACAATCAAGTGGTTCCTACTTTCATGGGAAACTTATAAGAATATTGATAAAGACAGCAGGGGGGATGCACATTATAAATCAACAGAATCCGTCTACTTCAATTCTTCTTCTCATTTCCAGGCGTCATTATCCATTCCTGCTGTGGAAGCTAATGATATCGTGATCCCTGTTCGTGGTAGTTTTACATCTGCCTTATCTTCTTTTACTGGTAAAGAATCAATTAGTGAAGCAATGCTACCTGGATCGCATCTTATATCTGATTGGGTGCCAAGTTCTATTGAAAAGGAGAAAGATGATATCCAAGAAGAAGGAGATCTTGGAGCAAGGTTAGTGTTTCTTTCTTGCTATTGAGTTCCATACACTTTTTTGATTGCTTTATCATGTGTATAGAGTTAGATAGTTGAGATTGGGTTACATCCAAAAGACTTAAGCCTTCCGGTGGGTGACTCCTTCTCAACTTTATATATTATTTGTTATTGGTTTAACTATTCAATGTGGGATATGTTCTAACACTCCCCTCACTTGCAGCCCATCTTTTGGGGTCTCGTCAAGTGGCTTGGGCTCCGGGATCTTTGCTTGGGCTGTTGGGCCTCTTCGAGGCTCGATACCATATAGAGTTAGATAGTTGAGATTGGGTTCCATCCAAAAGACTTAAGCCTTCCGGTGGGTGACCCCTTCTCAACTTTATATATTATTTGTTATTGGTTTAACTATTCAATATGGGATATGTTCTAACAATGTGGAATTATTGTACACAAGCATTTCATCTCTTAAACACTACGGGGTGCCTAGCAAATTGCACCCTTCCTCTAGTGCTTTGGAATTTTAGAAATTCAGCTTTGAGATCTTATCTTTGGTGAAAGGACTGTAATTCTGCAAACAAATATGCAGCAAATATTGATCTAAGTTCATAAAATCTTTTGCATCTTTAATTCCATATTGTATTTTATTTATGCAGTTTTAGTAATGCTGATGTTTCTTGGCCTATTTGCAGTGTGGACCAGTTTTTTGAATGTTTAGATGGAATGAGAAGTTCACAATCAGCTTTGGGGAGCAGTGGGATGTGGAACTGGACATGTTCTGTTTTCAGTGCATTAACTGCAGCATCCAGCATTGCTTCTGGATCTTTTCATATTCCTTCTGGTACGTGCACTTGTTGCGATGTTGAATCTAAATTATTAAGTGCGTCATTTTGTGCATTCATTGCTTCCCAAATTTAAGCGCTACTTACTCTCAATCTCATCATGTATGCTGTTCTTCATAATCTTGGATATAGCATGTTTCCTTCATTATTATACTATGATAGAACTTTCATTCTCTTTTAGAATCTACTTTTTTATTCCATTTCACATCATATGGTTTCATGGGCTACATCTGGCTTTTTCGAACATACACATTCTTAAGACATGTAAAGTGCATCGATGCAGATATTTTGGTTGATGGACTGAGCATTTTGTTGTGTTTATATGTTTTCTTACTAGCGATGCCTGATGTGCAGTTAATACTATAGACATGGTGGAAATTCATTGCTATGTTTCTGTATAACATTTATATTTGATGATACCTATTTATTGTGATAAGGTTTTCGGACTTTAATGGTAATATTTTTCAGATATCTGTTTGATATTATAATTTTCCTTTCCTTCTTGACCCATGTTCAGAAGACCAGCATGTTCAAACCAACCTTAAAGCAACTTTGGCTGGAATTTCTATCTTGTTATCCTCTCAGGACGAAGATCGGGAATATCTTTATGGTCAAAAGAGTGATCAGAATACTGCTGGTATGGAGATTCGCTGTTTGGGTGCAGAATGCAAAGATATTTTTGTTGTTTTGAAGGTAATATTTTCCTTGAAGAATTAAAATCCTTTTATTGGTTTTCTATGATATTCCTCAATGCTAACTTGAAAATTTGGCAAGGTCAACAGGTATGTCCTCAAGAAATGAGGTTTGAAGGAACAGTGAAGTGTATTGAGGTTGCTGACTACTTGTACAATAAAAATGATGCCATGAATCTTCACTTGGGGAAGTGTATTAGTGATAGCAGCAGTCGAACTTCTTTGATTCAGAATCTGCAAGCTGAAGTCCAAGGTGCTCTTCCTCCATTTCCCCATTCAGATGAATTAAGCACATTGATTGCAACAGGAGTTCCATTTGGAAATGAGACCAAAATGAAACTGCTTGGTACCTCGGGTGTCACTCGGTGCCAATTCACTGTAAATTCTGATTCAGATGGAAGTTTTACAGGGGCAAAGTCATTCTCTTTGCAACTGCCGCTGTTGATATTCTGGGTGAACTTTGGTTCAGTAAACATGATACTGAATCTTTTGAAGGATGCTGAAAAGTCTGTTGAAATGAGTACCCAGAGGAATGTATTTCCATCCGTTAAGAAGCACAAATCATCTCATGGAAATATGAAAAAAGGTTCAAGTTATGGGGTTTCAACGCTGGCTTCTGCAGAAAATTTGCAAGGTAGTATATTAATCCCTAATGCAAGGGTAATAATATGTTTCCCATTTGTAAGTGGTGGAGATATAGGAGGCTATTCTTCCTGGAATCAATTTATTGCTGTTGATATTTCTTCGCCATCGATCTTGGAAAGCCCAACGTCGAATTTCAGTTCACGGAAAAGGGATACACTAAGGGCCACATGTTCTTTGCATTTGAATGTTGGTAATCTCAACGTTTACTTGGTCAATCCAGCATGTAAAAATGATGGAATTAGCTCGTCTGCTTTGATGCCAAGGCACAAATATTGTGCGCAGAAGATTGTGTCTGTCAGTAAGAGTGCTGGTTGTCTATGTACAATTAGTATGCTTTGTCAGGAAGAGGCTGTGACTGGTCCTTGGATAGCTGAGAGAGCCAAGTCTCTGGCAACTTCAGAGGAATCCAGGAGCAGAATGGTGAAAGGCTATGAATTTGCTAGTGCAACTGCCGTGAAGGATCTACAAGACGTAAATTTTCAAACCAGAGAAGAGATAATTTTGAGCTCTGCATTCCTCTTGCACTTTCATCTGTTTCCTGTTACGGTTGATCTTAGCAGTTCCCAGTATAGTAATGTGCATTTCCTTCTAGATCAGATGATTAATGGATTATCGAGCATGGCCTGTGATGCAGTCAGTGTTAGGGAATTATCACCAGTCAGTCAAACATCAATTCTTGTGGAGTGTGAATCAGTAGATTTTTTAATTAGACCAGATATAAAGGATGGCATAAAAAGTTCATTGCAGAGTGAACTTCCTGGATCATGGCATTGTTTAAAATTGAAAATTGAAAAATTTGACTTGCTGTCTGTCTCAAATATTGGAGGTATCAGGGGTGCTAATTTCTTTTGGCTAGCCCATGGAGAAGGTAAATTGTGGGGTTCCATCGCTGGAGTTCCAGATCAAGAGTTTCTTCTGATTTCTTGTAGCAACACCACTAGGAAACGTGGAGATGGAGGAGGTTCCAATGCGTTGTCTTCTAGGTTGGCTGGTTCTGAAATTATACATATATGGGATCCAAAGAGCTTACGTGATTTTACATCTGTTACTGTCAGATGTGCCACAATTATTGCTGTTGGTGGTCGCTTGGACTGGCTGGATGCAATATGCTCCTTCTTTGTGTTGCCCTCTCCTCAAGTTGAAAAGGCAGGCGATGAAAATTTGACCAAGGGGGATTTGAATGCCCCTTCTGAAACTTCTTTCATTCTAAAGTTGGTTGATGTTGGTATAAGTTATGAGCCCCACTTGAAGAAGCCAGTGGTTCGGGATCTTTATTCTGAGCCTGGTTCCTCATATTCCAAAGAAGAAACGGTTGAGCCACGTATTGCTTGTCTATTAGCTGCATCTTCGTTTTCTGTTTCCAATACGAAAACGGAAGATTCTATGGATAGTGACTACAAAATTAGAGTGCAAGATGTGGGGCTGCTTCTTGGTGCAGCACCTGAGAATCTTGGTGGCACTTACAGCGTGGAATATCTTCATGAGATGGGCTATGTGAAAGTTGCTCGTGAGGCCCTGGTTGAAGCAATTTTGAGAACTGACTGTAAGGATGGCCTTCTCTGGGAGGTAGAATGCACAAAATCCCACATTTATGTGGAAACTTGCCATGACACTACAGCTGGTCTGATGCGATTGGGTGCTCAATTCCAACAGCTTTTTGCCCCTGACTTGGAGGAATCAGTTGTGCACTTGCAGAATAGGTGGAATAGTGTTCGTCAGGTCCAAGAGAGAAACGAGTTCAATGATGAAGGTAGGATTTCCAATCATGATTGTGTCCCATCAACTTCCCAAGTGCATTCCCCTACTGCAGACAAGAAAAGTACACTTGGGGTTGGTTTAATGGATGAGATATGTGAAGATGCATTTCATTTGCGTGGGAATCATGCATGCCAGTTTGATTCTAGTGGATCAGAAATTCGTGTTTCACTTGATGAAAGTCTACTTGGAGAGGCTTGCAGCCTAAGTGTTGAAACTCCTGACTTTTTTCGAATGATCTCTCTTATGATGGGTCAGTGCCTTTAATAGGCCTGGAAAGTAGTCAAACCACATTTCTACATAATGGTTCTTTCCCAGAATTTATAGAAGGTTATTACCTGTCTGATTTACGCCCTTTGTCAGAATTATCCATAGGCAGGCAATCACCGCCTGAGAAACTTAAATGCATATCCCCGAATTTTGGTGATGCAGATCATGGAAGAGGAAATGGTGGATGGTATGGGCATACCCCTTTAAGCATTGTTGAAGATCACATTTCTGGAGCAAGTGGTGAAGCTAGTGTCAATCAGGTTTTGGAAGATCAGCTTCCAAATATGTATTCTAGAAGATCTGATGATTTTGAGAAGGCCACAGGACGTGTACTTTTTAAGAACATTAATGTGAGCTGGAGAATGTATGCTGGTTCTGACTGGCAGGCATATAAAAAGAATGGTGATCCTTCTAGTCATATTTGTGGAAGGGATACAACTATTTGTCTAGAGCTTGCATTGTCTGGAATGAGATTTCAATACGATATCTTCCCAGTTGGTGGAATATGTGCATCTAAGCTTTGTCTCTCAGTTCAAGATTTTCAGCTTTCTGATAACAGTAAAACTGCACCTTGGAAACTGGTAATATAATATTCTCATCTATGATATTTAATTATTTTGTCTTTCTTTTTTCAAATGATGTTTGAATATTTTTATTTTCTTGAAATGAAAGATGCTAGGATATTATCATTCAAAAGATCATCCTAGGGAATCCACTTCAAAAGCATTCAAGCTGGACTTGGAAGCTGTCAGACCCGATCCTCTGATCCCTCTTGAGGAATATCGGTATGTGTTTCACTAGAAGTCATGATTATTAAGTATTGTTTTGGTAGAAGCCTTGTTGTGTAACGTCTCTATTTTGGAAAGCACTGTTATACTTTTTATGTAAACAAATTTTCACCATGCAAGGATATATATATATATTTTGGGATAAGGCTATAAAGAATTTCGGATGTCAATGTTTGTGACAAGTCAGGAATGGAAATATAGTTGTTTTGTGCAATTGTTTTGTTTCATGTGTTTGATTCTTAAATATCTTAATGAGGTTGGCAATCCACCCTAGCCTTTGCATTCTCTTGTTATCTTTTATGGATCATGCTCAAAATATCGATTGTTGTGCTTGTTGTGTCTTCTGCATCACAATTTCACAATCACACCTCATGAACTAGAGTCAACCTTATAACCCTGGTTTTTATTTTATTTAATTTGTTATAGTGAAACACAGTGTTTTAAAAATGCTGCCTCAGTGTTAATTGTAATTCCTTCCAGGTTACGCATCGCTTTCCTTCCGATGCTATTGCATCTTCATCAAAGCCAGCTCGATTTTCTCATTAGCTTTTTTAGGCCCAAAAGCTCTTCAGCAGGCCAGCCTTCAGATCAAGATCAAAACTCAGGTGGTGCAAAAACTTCTGCAACAAATAGCAGTAATCTTGCAGGGCATACAATTGCAAATGAAGCATTGCTTCCCTTTTTTCAGGCAAGTACAATAGAGACCATGCACATTCTTCAAGTGACATGATATCATTGCATCACATTTCGTTTTTGTTAAGCTACAATTTGAGTGCAGTCATGTGCACTGGCGGGCAAGATGGCTAGCCACCACTCAAGGGATTGTTTTACTTCTATACTTAAACTCTGATGGTCTGTATTTTCAGTGAGTAATTGTATGAAATAAAAAATGGATTTGACTATAAATAATTGAACCAGGCCATGATTTTCTTGGTTTGTCTGTTTTGAGTTCTTTATTATATTCTGAGTTTGATTTCTTAACGTTAATTCTCAATGCTGATCACATTTAACTTATTTCAGAAGTTCGACATATGGCCCATTATTCTTCGAGTTGACTACAGTCCCCATCGTGTTGATCTAGCAGCATTGAGCAGTGGGAAGTACGTGGAACTTGTGAACCTTGTGCCCTGGAAGGTGAATATTTTGTTGCTACTGTTGAATTTTATGAAGTTCTGTTTGGTAATTATTAGTGTTGATGCTTGTTGATGGAGGGAATCAGTATTGTGGACAAGTCCTGCATACCAGCTCTGATAATTTAGGTGTTTTGCATTCCACTCTTGAACATTTGTTACTAAGTTTTGCAATTGATTCATGATAAAATGACAAAAGTATTATTTAAGATGTCTCTGCCATTCTGAATTGTACTTTTGTGAAATGCAACCTGATGGTTTCAAATTTCGTGTTTGTTCAAAAAATATCATCAATAATTTGCAATGATATAAATCATATAGCATTCCAGTGGGGTGGGGTAGGGCCCAATTCCAGTGGGGTGAGGTAGGTCCCAAACTAATGTTGCATTGAGTGCATCTTGCTAGTGATCTAAAATGCCTGGCCTTCTGTTTATTGCATTTTATGGCTATTCAGTAATAGGTAAAGGTCTATTGCACTTTCAGATGGCAAATGTTTTTTTTTTGTTTGTTAAAAGATGACATCAGATCAATAATTCTCTCATCTTAAATATTGTTGTTTTGTATCTCATATCATTTATTTTTAAACAATAATGCTCAATTATTAGCAAAACTATTATAAGTCAACTCCCTAGACAAAAAAATGCTGAACGAAATATAAATTTTGAGAGTTGCCAGTTGGATGTTCTAATCACTATCAGTGAATTTTGATGCAGGGGGTTGAACTACACCTAAAACATGTTCGAGCCTTTGGTGTCTATGGCTGGGGCAGTGTATGTGAAACAATAATAGGGGAGTGGTTGGTGGAGATTTCTCAAAATCAGGTTTCAATAACTTGCTTCATGCATATTAGGAACTTTATGATTCTATTCTCTTATCAAAATGTTTTATGATAGTTATTTACCTTTCTCATGCATGTAGATGCATAAAATTTTGCGAGGCCTTCCTACCATCCGGTCCTTGGTTGCTGTTGGTTCTGGTGCTGCAAAGCTTGTTTCCTTGCCAGTTGAGAGCTATAGGAAGGATCATAAAATAATCAAGGGAATGCAAAGAGGCAAGCCATTTTGAGTTAAACATTTGTATGGTGTCTAGCAGTAAAATTTGGGTTGTGCTGCATTATGTTGTAAATGTTACGAGATGGTTGTGTGTCACATGATGACACGAGATGCTTATATTGCATGTTTGTCGTGAACATCACTTTTTGTCACACACACACACATATATCCTGTCTAAATTGGTTTGGTGTTTACTTGCAAGATAAAATTTTGATCAGGAAATTTCTGGCCGGTTGCTCAATAATTATAAGAACATGCTCAATCTGACCAGCATGTCATTAATATTATAATTCTCTTGGCCTTATATTGAATTGTCTCTATTTCAATTGTTCTGTGACACTGTTTTCCTCCTTGTCTAATTCTAATTTGTGTTTTTGCATATATTTCTGGTTAGAACGCCTCCACCTCGAAGTTTAATAAATGAAAGTAATCATTCTTGGTAATTCTCTTTCTCAGGTACAGTTGCATTTCTAAAAAGTATATCACTTGAAGCTGTTGGACTTGGGGTACATTTGGCAGCTGGGCTTCATGATATTTTGCTCCAAGCAGAAAATATTCTTACAAGTATTCCTTCTCCTCCTGTGTCATGGTCTGTACAAGGCAACGCTAAAGCAAACGTAAGATGCAATCAGCCAAATTATGCCCAGCAAGGAATTCAACATGTAAATTCCTCAACTTGCCTTGCTTTTTGCATGGTTGCTCCTTGTGCTTTTTGTAATGCTAAAAAATATATGCTGGTATAACGTAGTTTTGTGTTCTTTTTTTTGTTGTGGAATAAACACTGTAGAATTAAACAGATTGGAATTGTATGTCCCTGAAGACTGTTGTATGTTGGATTTGGTTTATGATCATATGGAATGGTGCAAGAGGATCTGTATAGCTGACCTGACCCAACTAGATTGGGATTAAGGCTTTGTTGTTATAAAGACCATTATACATCCATGTGTTTTAGGAAATAAAACAATGTATCGTTGCGTGAAGTATTCTTTCCCCTAACTAAGTTTTTGTGCTCTCAATTTGACAGGCATATGAGAGTCTCAGTGATGGCCTGGGAAAGTCTGCTTCTGCTTTAGTGCGGGCTCCATTGAAAAAATATCAGCGTGGAGCCAGTGCAGGATCTGCCCTGGCAACTGCTGTACGGGCTGTTCCTGCTGCTGCCATAGCTCCTGTTTCTGCTTGTGCAGGTGCAGCCCATTATGCTCTTCTTGGTCTTAAAAATAGGTCAGTTCCTCTTACTTTACCTTTTGGTTCTGATTAGATCTAGTCATTTTCCTGTTTAGTGAGATGCAATCTTTTCAATCATATATTTATTCTCGTGAGGATGTTTGCAGCCTTGACCCTGAACACAAAAAAGAGTCCATTGAGAAATATCTGGGTTCCACAAAGCCAAATGATTGGGATTGATTGAAATGCATGAAGAGACCATTGCATGACGAATGGATAGATGGATTGTTGCTGCCCTCTTTAAAAGAGGAGGTCACTGAAGACCTTCATTTGTTGCCGCCATAGCCGACATGTGTAAAGTGAGTTTGAACTTCACTCGCTTCGTTTTGAAGACTTCAAAATACACTAAATAAAATGGATCTTGCCTTAGTGGAATGAGCAGCAACTCGCTTATGCCATTGGTCCAAGCAAACATGACATAGAAGTTCAGGTTTTGGCATTAGTAAAGTCCTACTGATGATTTAGCTGTGGAGGCGTTGATCTGTGAATTGTATCGGTTGGAATTTGTTTATTCCCTAAGTTCTCTCTCATCCTCAGTTTATTTTTCGGTTGCAGGTGTGCAGTTGACAAAGCCATCAAACAGATTATTTTCCTTCTGGATGACTTTGGTAGCATTGTAATTATAGCCATACAGATTGAGAATTGTAATTATAGCCACCCATCAAAATTTGTTTGCGGGTGATGGAGAAGGTTGCCCTTATTCTTTGATCGCCTTGATCACATTGTTTCTATTGGTTGTACATAATTCAGATGTTTATGGAGCAATGCTGTACATTGAATACTTAAAATAATAGTAGGGATTGATCGGCAGTGATGTTCTTTTCTTTTTACCCTTTCGCCACATATTTATGGGGTCTCCACTCTTCAGCTGTGTATTTACTTATGTTACTGGCATGCAAGTTTTGAAACTGGAAAGAACTTTTATTTTTTTTTCTTGAAAAGCTTAATTATAAAGAATAGATAGTTTAAACTCAATGCAAGGGTAATAAAGATTTTAGATTTTTAGGCAAGCATCAAGTGGTCCATGTCAACGAAAATATGACTATCAAATGTCAAAACCCATTTGCATCGGCCGTCTATTACCTTGTGTAGGAGTAAAAATAGTGAGATTTGAATTAGTGTATATATTATCTCAACTTAAAAGAAAAGATTAAGTTGTTAAGGTTTTAAAAATGGTTATATGTTACTTTTCATCATCAAAATGAATCGAATGTGAGGGAGAACCATTGTTGTTGCAAGTTATGGCTAAATCTTGCAACTTCTGTTGGCCACATTTTCTTAAAATTTCTCATCGAGTCAACAGTTACTTGAGCAAGATAAATTTGGCGAAATGAAAGAAGCCTTGGTGTGCGTATTGACGAGGGTTGTCTCATAAGCAAATACTATTTTGTTTGAACAAATGACTAAAATAAAACAAAAGAATATCAGGGGATTCGTGGAAGCATAGAGGATCAAAAGAATAGTTTATTTACCGTATCATCGCATGGGTTATTCTCGCCCACTTCAAGTCACGGTAGCTTCTTCTTCTTTTTTTTTCCTTATAAAAAATAAAAAATAATAAGTAAAAACACTTTTATTTATGTAACTAAATATGTTTTATAAAAGTCTTGTAAGAAAAACACCGTCAATTTCCACTGCAATCACCATTCTCTGGCACCTCTCGCCAAGACGCTTCAACACATCCATAACTTTTTATCCGCTTTATTTGCTATCAAATGCTAGAAAAGCTTTTTCTTCTTCTATTTTCTTTTTTCTTACCGAGAGAATCATTGAGTTCTTTAATACACAATTAAAATAATCGTTTCTATTACATAATAATTAAATAAACTAAAATCATAAAAATTTGAATCTATATTAATAAAGAAAGCTATCAGGTATACTAGATGATGTACGTAAAAAAAAAAAAAAAATCATATATATTGTCTGAAATACCCTTTGCACTTACCTTGCCATCTACGCTATTGTGTCACTCCTGATATATTCTTGTAAAATTACTCTTTTACTCAAATTACTAAATGAGACAACTCAATAAATAATAAATCAAGGAAATCTTTCATTGCGAAGTTCCCCTGTCGCAAATTTTAACACCCAGTTCATCAATAAGACAAAAGAAAACGCAAATGAAATATCATGTTAAGAAATAAAAATCATAATTCGTAGACTGCTTGATTTAGTTGAAGTTCTTCAACAGCGAACATTTGTACATACCAAAACAGCAAAATACTACTCTTTTCACGGGGAGCTGCATAGGGGAGGGTTGGACTAAAATGCGAAGTATATATAAAGGAGAGGCAATGCTGTTTTGGAGTCAAATCAAAAAGTAATTAAAGCCACAAAAAATAACTAGAAAATTAAAAAAAGGAGTAAGTTAGACAAAATCTCAGCTCTCTTGCAGTCTCACAACGCACAGCAGAGATAAATGAAATCCCCTCCCCCGGGAAAAAATGACCATGCCTCTTCCATACATCCCAAAATTTGTCTCTCTTTCATTATGGATACCATTATATTGCGTTATCTTTACAACGTAACCCTCCTTCAATCGATAATTCCTGGAACATATAAAGAACCCAAATTAGATTGTTAATTCCTATTGCAAATTTTAACTTCAGATATCTTTAAAAAAATCAAAAGGGAAAGGAAAGAAAACAGAATTCCGTCGCACCTGTGTTCTCTTGTTAGTTACTTCCTCTCCACGAACAAAAATAGGCCTCTCTTCAACAACTGTATCCAAAACCCCGGTGATCCTATCACTTTTCTTAGGTGCAATGTTACCCCTCTTTAAGCCCAGTTTCTCCTTCCACCAGCCTGAAATCTTTGGCGATGGGAACGCATCATCATACTGATCATCGACTAGTAATTCATCTCGTAAGGTCATTTTACGCAGTTGGTTGGTGCAGTTATCCTTCAAAGGCAACATCGTGCCCTTGAAGAAAATTTCATCTGCAGGAATCATGGAGTTGTTTTTCACCGAGAACTCGAAATCTGTGGAAACTGGTGCTTCTCTATAGCTGCTTTCATACTTGATAGTTTGTTGTGCATCCACAAAATCATTGGAGAAAGAAATTCTCGGGTCCATAGAGGAAGAGTAAAAGCTTTGTTGCTCACTGTTGAACATGTTAATTTAAGCATGCCATAAACTTTCAAACCAACGCTCTTTAAGTCTTTTTAAGTTGTTTCTTCTCTTTCACTGTTAGAATCCACATGGAGATGTTTGCATTTATATAGGGGTGAGCTTGTTTTATGTATATACTTACCGGACATCTCATGTTACTTAGATTTGTCAGTTTGTGATTAAAGATGACGATAATACATTTTGTATTAATTACACAATATTTAATCACTACATCAGTGAATCAACTGTTTAAAGTTAACATTATTGACTCTAATGTGTGTTGCTTGACAAGCAGATAAGGCCATTCTGACCCTAATATTCTGCCTGATGCGGCCAGATCAAGCCAATATAAGGACTCATGATTATTTGACCATCCAATACAAGAGTTTTTTTGAGACACAAATTGCACTTCCAAACAAGGCCCTCCCTAGGAACGAATCCAGGATTAGAGACATGGGGGGCCAAGAACTTTTCTCTTTCTCTTTTATAAAATAGAGATTACTATTTAAATAAGTTATTATTTTTTTTTTTTTGGAAGGAAGAGGACCGATTATATCATGATTTTAAGGGGGAGAGGGCCAACTTTCTTTCCTTGGAGGGTTAAAAATGTTAAGAAAAAGTCTTTTAGAAGCAAAAGGGAAAACATTTTTCAGGGATTAATAACAGTTTTATAAAGAAAAGGGACCAAATATTTTGTATTATTAAGGGTTTTGTTTTTTTAATCATTTCTCTTACCTGTGATCCAGGCAGAATAAAGATTTCAAATTTAATCAGCTCCACATTATCCAGGCTAGATGGACCCAAATGATTGATGTTGCCATAGTTCTAAATACATATTTCCTGCAAAATGTTGAGAAGTAGTAACTCGAGACACACTTACTCCACTTCCCATCCCTTTGAACATGTGATTTTTGGTGTGGTGGGTTTCTCATTTTGTATTTCCTATATTTTATGCTTAGATCTCCACTTGCATTAAGCTACTAACTATGCTTTTCAAAGGCCCATGTGGGTTTGAGCTGTGATCTGATTGTTAATCCAATAACTATAGAAAGAAAGGTCTCTCAACTCTTGTACAAAACAAGGAACTTTCTGCCTTACTTTGACTATTCATAGCAGTTGAATAGATAAAGAATTTTTGGTTCCATCGCCTTGAATTAGGCTATGGACATTCACATGGTTAATCTTCATCGAAATGGAATTTGCAATGATTCCCCAAATGGGGTTTTGACAAGTGGCTGATTCTCACACTACAGCTGCAACAAGCTTTGAAATGCCCAAAGACCTTGGATTCACTTCATGGGCTTAGTGGACTCTGTCTCCTAATTGGTCTCCCATCTTGTTTACAAAGTTTGTCTTTTATGTTTCTCTTAAGCTAACAAGAATCTAACACAGTTTTCTGTTCGACTCGGAGCACGTTTTACACTGTGTGATCGTGAAAAGCTCTATACATTTATTGGGTGCTTTGTATGTCGCCCAAAATTCGTCTTACCAGACTATCCCTAATATGCTATAATATGAAGCAATAACTGTAGGAAAAACCAATGGATGATTAGGCCGTTCTATTTTACCATGTACTTAATATAGTTGTCCTTAGATGAGATTATCATTCACTAGGCAATATTTTGATGGCCTTCAGCTGTTTGCTGCTTAAATCAAGGAATTCTGGAGAAAACTCTTACCATTAAATATTTGATTAACAATTATCGGATGGCCCTTGTATGACATTGTTTTTTAAATTTTGCATTATGAATTATACCAATACTTATCCAATAAAATGCGCAGCGATACAAGCAGATTTTTTTACTCCAATCATCATGCTCAATTCTTGATTTCTCTGCTACAGAATTTGAACTCTGGTGCCTTCAGGCCATACGAAATTATCAACAAAGTGAAAGGCCAACTCTGACGTAAATTGTCATTTCTCCTAATTGCTTTATCCATGCATGTGCTGAAAGCGTACTTGCAGCATGAGACACTGTTTATCTTGATGAGCAATGAGAACGAAGTGCTCAAAAATAAATTTAAAAAAAATAAAAAATTGGGCCCTCAAAATTTTACTGAAAATCATCATCGTGTTCAACATTGTAAGGAGATAGTCTTTTCAATGGCAATTCACTTCCAAAAGAGAGTCTAGATTTTAATTCTGCATTTGCCGTTCCTTTTAAAGGAGTTCTCATTCGTTTCACGGTTGATCTCTGCAAAGGGTTGAGAGAGGCAGATAATGCGTCCCTCGTAGGATCTATGCTGGGAGACAAAGTTTGTTGTGGTTTCTGATATCGAGATAACTTTGAATTCTGGTCCAGATTTTCTTTATCATTGAGCGGGTTCTCATTTCCTTGTATCCCTTGCATCCTTAGAGTTGGATTTGATTCAATGGGTACAAGCTTCCCATCCACTTGGTTTGTGAAGACAAAAGAAACCTGCAATAACTCGATAGTAAGTGCTTCAAGTGGAATGCGAAAAATATAGCAGATTGCATGTGGATTACATCAGGGGGTAGGGATCCAGCCACAGGTAATGATGGTATACTGAATTGTTGTGAAAACAAAAGTTTGATTCCACTCTTATTTTACGCAACATAATTAATTTATTCTCCAGCAATTTGTTCTACTAAGCATGCTAAGCAAGCACAAAAATAAATGAACATTTAACACTTGTTTTAAGGGGGAAAAAAAACTGACGAACTCCTAGACCAAAACTAGGGTGGATTCGCACAACAACATGCTTATACTCAAACCTGCATTCTCACAATCAAACAAGATGCAGGATGAGAAAAATGAACCATATTTAAGGAGTTCATTTTTTGTGAAAACATGGTAGGGCACATGCATTCTTTGACTTTTCTACGATCAATTCTGAATAGATGGCCGACTAGTTCTTATGTCCTGTAGCTGGTTTATAATTCCTAATTTAATCAATCGTTTAAGGATTTCAGAAATTTATTGTGCAAAATACAATATCGATTGCTATAGGAAGGGTATTTTCTTTTTTTAAAAAAAAGAAAAAATCACACCAAATATGTGTGAAATGTTGGCGCACCTCATCACCTGCTGAAGCTTGAAGTATAGGATCAGGCACTGATGTCAAGTGGAAGTGATGCCCCCAGCTGCCCAAATCCTCTTCCAAAGGAGTCCCTACCTGAAAATTGAGTGGAAAAAAAAAAACAAATAATAAATGGGACATCTGAAAAGATATGAGCAATAATATCCAAGTGATTGGGAGGCAACTAACTTGCTTCTCTGAGCTCTTCAACTTGTCCAGGCATCCAGCAATTGCAGCAAAGCCACCTATATCGACCACCTCTTGATTGGGCATACAATTCCCATTTTTTGATTCATCTCCACCTCCTAAGCTCTCAAGTCCCTCATCAGAATATAGACAACGGGCACAGTTCATGTTTTCATGTATTTCAGACCTACATGGACAAACAAAGACATTAGAAGGAAGATAGAACAGGAAAATACAAATCTATGTTCACTGGTGCAGCAAAAATCAAACTTGTAAACCTGCAACACGGACCTAATAAAATTGCACTATGCTATATTGAACTAGCTATTCTGTTCATGATACATGGCAAGACACCAATAAAATTAAGTACAAAAAGGGAGACTTCAATAGATAAAAACTCAGAACCCCATCTTTCATTTAAATTAAACTGGCCGTTGGTGTAACTTGCCTAATGCAACTGGAACACATGATGTAATTTTTGTACACTCCTGAACCAATTGCTGATTCATTGCTAAAAATGATGCAACATTTTTTTAACCATCTTCTTAGTTCATTCTAATCCTTGCTTACACTGACCACAAACCCTACATCCTAAGATTAATGCAAATATTGCAGGCACAACTTTAAATGCCTAACACCCCAAATACCTTAACCACAAAACTGCCAATTATGCAAGTAATCATGGCAAAATATTTCAACATAGGCCACACAAATTACCTGACATTCTGATGAAATGTGAACAAATCCCGCAAATCTTCAGTTGAAAGAGAGTTTCCCTGCAATGCATGCACTTTAGATACCATTTTATATGAGGGCAAACTTCAATCCTATAGCATAAAGCAGCAGCAACAAAAAACAACCTGTGCCCCAAGGCTGTCATTTTGCTCATGCTGAATAACTTTTTGAAGCCCTTCTTTTGACATTTGACGCTGGTAAACCTACAAAAGTATTAGGGCGTATCAGCCAACAAAATGACACGTTGCTTATTGACAGCACTATCTTAGAAATTGTGGAAGGAAAAAGATAGTAACTATATTCCTAATATTAATTCAGTTGCAGCTCATCAAAACCTTTTCTTCAATGGTTCCAGTACTCAGGAATCTGTAGATATATACCCTCTTCTTTTGTCCATCCCGCCAAACTCTTGCAGCTGCCTAATTATGTGAGGAAAAAATCATGAAAACAAATCAGATGTGAGATCCGCATGCTAATTTCTAACTTATGTGAATTGGACAGCCTCAGAAAATTACTTGCTTGTCATTGGCAGGATTCCAGTCAGGATCAAACAATACAAGTCGGTTACCACCAATTAGATTGAGGCCACAGCCACCAGCCTTGCTGCTTAAGAGAAATACAAATTCATCCTGCAAGATGTTGAGTTAAAATGAATTGATCAGTAATCAAGCCAGAATTTGCTTTCTGCACAGCAGAAAACATAGCTGAGTTGGAGAGATATGAATGAGAAGGAAAAGCGCAAATACCTTTGATGTATCATTAAAGCGATTAACTAACTTCTGTCTTTTACTAATTGATGTGGTTCCATCAAGTCTTATTTGAGGATATCTTCTTTCACGGCACAATTGAGCAAAAAGGTCAAGTGTCTGATGCATCAAAGTAAGTTTATGCTGTGAGGAACCCATTTCAATTGCAGCTACTTCATGGAAAATAGTGGTCAATTAGTGCTTAGTGAAATGGTTTCTGTTGCAATAAGTTGTCAATGATAAATATACTTCTTACATCGCTTGAAGTAAGTTTGAAAATGCAATCAAAATCTATTTCGTCTAGAAAACTGAGATTTAAGTGTGCTGAACCCTTACATCAATAGTAGCTTTTTAAAGAAAATCATTGAAGGATGCATATGCAGAAATAAAAAGTCAACAATGCCAATAATATCTTATAATCTGTTCTTGCTTTCTCAATGGATTAGTGCAATGACATGGCAGGAAATATTTCATTAGCTGCAATATTCAGAATTAACAGCTAACAAATTGGGGAACAGGAGGTTAGGGGACATTTATGAACTGTGATCAATAAGCATTTCTATACAAAATTAGCAAAAATCACAAATTAAAACAAACATACCTGAGTATAGTTCGAGACAAGAACAATGCGATCATTTGTTCTCTGACGTAGATGGGCAAGTAATCGGGCCAAAACATGCATTTTACCAGACAGTTCAACCCAAGCCCCATCACCACCAGTCCATGAACCAGATCTAGCAATAGAACATGGAATACATACAAATATGGAAGAGAAAAAGTCCCAGACAGGACACAAGTATAGGACTTGGATACATACAAATGCAACATACCATAACTGCTTACCTTCCAGAGAACATCGCAGGAGGGAAAAAGCGCATGCAGTCTTCAAACCCTGAAGTTCCCGGACTTCCACTTTTTATGGTATCATAGATAAGCTGCATGGATAAATGATCATTAATGATGATTTTTAAAGTATTTTCTAAACTAAACACAGATTAGACATCAAATAGAATGTTAGAAAACATCACAGATTGCAAATAAATAAAACCAACCCACCAAGAATCGTTTCATGCATATGACAGTAAAAGATCTTCAAAGAGTAGAACAGTCTTATACAAACAATATAGCATCTAAAATTAGAAGGAAAAAATAAATTTGTACTCCCAAATATGATCATATGAAATTGTTTCTGATCCCAATATCCTTTTCTAGAATCAGGCGGTTCCAGCCTTATTTCTCACTCTACTGTATGATTGCAAGTACAGAGGAACCAAAATCCTCATATTATTACTACAACACTTTCATACCTTTGGATGATTGCACAGCTTCTTAAGAGCTGTGATATAGGCCAATATCTTTGATCGCTTTGCCTCTTCATTAATTGCCCGTTTAACCTGTTGTTAAAGGAGTAACAAAATAATCTGAATCAATTTCCGACAACCATGTTAAGTTACTTACCACTTAGTATGAATAAAACCCACATTTTTTGAATGTATAAAATGGTTATATAACTCTGACTGGAGAGGAGTCAATTTGCAACAAACAACTTCTACAATCTGCATGGAAGAACAAGATTTAGAATGACAAAAGTATCAAGATAAAATATTACTCAAATTTATCTGCACAAAATGACAAAAGTGAAAAAACTGTAAGAGATTTACTTTAATCAACACATAAATCAACAAATCTATTGCAAAGCAATTAAATCAAAAACACTTAGGAGCACAAACTTCGTAATGCAAGAAGAATGTAATTGGTCAAGAAAAATACATGTATAGCTCAAGAAGGAAGCCCAGCTTCAAGCTTCTCATCATTTATTGACAGATACTAAGCTGATCCAGAATATTTATTTAATAAACTAATTGCAGACTGCTAAATTATGGAGCTTTCCATATGTTAATAAATCTGTTAAGGAAACTGAAATATTGCCCAACACATTAAGCAACTGACACAAGTGTTAATGGCAAAAGGAAATCATGATTAAGGCCGTACCTTTGGTGGCAGATGATTTGATAACAATGCATTTGTCCTTCTCAATATAAACTGCAATATAGATTTTCAAATCAAGTGCAGGAAACAGTAAAAGGATTCTAAGAAAGTGATTTACTATTCATATTTAGCATGTAGCACCTATTTACCATTAAATAATAAGGAGTTACACTAGAAGAACATGGTTCTTGAGAAATCTAGCTTCTACATTTGTGCCCACATTAGTAAGAAACTGACCTGATTTACTTTCACACTTAGTTCTCCAGAGCGTTCAGCACATAGCTTCTTCTCTTCTTCAGTGGCAGTCGGTTCCCTTCCACAAATGATTGGTGTCTTCATGGTTTATACGTGAGAAATTAAAAAATAGGATAAGTATGCATGCCAATAAAGTAGAGGAAAAAGAACATCACGTTATTGGTATAGTAATTTCCAAAGCAAATCATTCTAAGACAAATTCCATCATCACATTTGTTGAATAAAACTGAAGCACCTTATTCCAGGATTGTTATGTTCTATAGTAAGGATAAAACTGTCAGTATATGCCTCGTGATAAAACACAAGCCACTGACATTCTGCTGATGATGCCTCGCTAGCGAACAAAATGCTATACTAAAATATGATATGAATTTCACAAAAAATAATAATAAATTATATCACCAATCCTACAGAAAAAATGAACTGACAAATGGTTGTAATTATACAAAAAGTTAACCAACAGCGAAACATTGACTTTACAAGACAAAATGGTCATAACACCAACCAAACAACACCCTCCACCCCCCAGTAGAGCACACACAAAAAAAGATGAATATAGAAGCAAGTTTATGAACAGAAAAATTAATGAGTTCAACCATCTTAAATGCAATTCAAAAACTGACAGATCAAAATAAAGATTCAAATGAAAATATAGCTCACCTCATAGTAACGGCGAAAATATGCAGCATCACCCAAAATTCCTGGATTGGTGAAGTTAACCATTGCAAAAAACTCTTCTAGGTCATTCTGCAAAGTGCAAGTGGATGGTGAATCATAAAATATTAAAAAACAGAGATAACTATTAGGATAAATATCGTGCAGAAATATTTCTCACTTGCATTGGAGTTCCTGACAACAAAATGCGGCGCTTGCATGAGAGAGAAGCCAATGCCTATGAGAATGTTCACAAATAAATTCAGACAAAGAACAAGAAATTGGCATGCTTTAGAAGTGAATACTCGAGGAAAAAGAAAGTGTCTGCATGCCATACCCGATTTGTTATTGTCTGGTCATTTTTAAGTCTGTGAGCCTCATCACATACGAGAAGTTCACAATATTCACTATTGCTAAATTTTGAAGAATGCATCCGGAATGTCTCATATGAAACAATCAGAACCTAGTGAGATATAGAATGGATTAGCAAATGTTTCCACAATATTCTTCACATTTAATGCAATTTTTTTTTTACCTGGAAAGAGCTGCGAGGATTTGTGAAACTGTCAATCCCAGAGACAACATCATCTCTGGTGCTTTCACAGAGAGCTATAAGCTTAACTCTTTCTCCAACCCACTTTTTGATTTCGGCCTCCCAGTTCCTTACGAGACTGGTCGGGGTGACAATTATGGCTTTTTTAACCATAGGCTTTCCATCAAACCCTTGACCAAGAAGAGTATACAGCAATGTGATTGACTGCAGTGTCTTTCCCAAACTGCCAAATTAAGATCATAAACAGAAACCTTGAGGATAAGGCTGAAAATAACAGCCTCAAGGAAAACTGTGCACAACACTCATAGAATAAGTCAAAATAGATGAGGAATTTACCCCATATCATCAGCCAGAATGCATCCATTAATATTTGCAGTGCTATAAAATCCCGAAACACATTCAAACATGAATTGAACACCCTCTCTGCAAACACAGACAACAACATCATGTGATGGCAAAATTCATTTACGAGCAGTCGTTACATGCAAATCTGTAAAAGGATATCACAACCAGATATTAGACTTTTGCATTGTAACCAATACCTTTGATGAGGTCGAAGGAACTGAACAAGGAAAGGATCCACCACTATTGGCATCAAATTACCAACTCCATCCTCAGACTCTTCAGGTTGCCACAACACCAAAGGATCAATACCAGGTGGCAAAGTCACACTTTCCTCTGCTACATCTCTCTCCACTGCAGTTGGTACATTAAATCTATTTGTTACTTCAACTAAAAATGGCCTTGAAGAACCCCAAGGAACAAACCGTTTCCTGGCCCAAAGCCTACGAGCAAGCCGTTCATTTCCATCATTATAACCATTGGAACATGGGGGTTTAAAGGGTTTCCTACAAATAGCTGCCCCTTCTGTCACTGAAAGAACTCGAGGAAGCAGTGACTGTCTCCTTACTACAAGGTTGCCTCTGGTAAACCACAATCACCAAAATTTCACCTTAATTTAAGGATAATCAATTTCAAATAAGCAGTTCCATAGTCAAAGCTAAAGAAGTTCTAAATTCTGACAAAATGAACTGTTGAACCAAAACAACATAATCCTGCAAAAATCTCGTTTCTCATTTCCTACCATTGTCTTAGCAACCAAATGGAAAATTTCACTTTGATTTATTCAAATAAACAATTTCTTGGTCCAAAAGAAAGAAAATCCACACTTTTATAACAATAGCTATTGAACCAAAACAGCAGAATCCGCAGTTCAAAAAACTCCAATATTTTTCTCGTTGCGTGCTTTTTTTTCCTCAGTAAACAAACAGAAAATTCAATTCAAAACCCAAACTATACAGTTTCAGATTTATCGAGCTATAAAAGCAAAATTGCAACCCTGGTTTATCGATTCACGCCAGAAAGAACAAAATTCAAAGTAAAAAAAAGTAAAACATCAGCTATTGAACCCAAATGAAAAAGTTTCAAAACTTTTTCTCATTTCGTGCACTTTCTCACAACCAAATAGGGCATTCGGTTTCAGGACTATTACATTCTGAAAATAAAATTTGAGACCATGATTATCAATTTCGTAATAGAAATAACAAAGCCTAGGTTTTTAAACTACCAGCTTTTACCGATTTGAAACACAATCCAAAAATCGCCGCAGTCTAAGCTAATGTTATTGTGGTAAATTAGATACCTCAAGAGAGCGTCTACATTCTTCAATTTGCGATCTTCGTCGGACGGTGGAGATGACGCCACATATTGCTCTCCCTCATTGTCGTCATTGTCTTCTTCATCTTCGCGATCGACAGTATACTCGTCGCCTGAATCGCTTGAATCGGACGGTGAGAGACTCTGTTCTTCCTCCACTACTTGATCGTCTTCCATTGAAAGAGCTTGTATTTTTCAGAGATCGTTTTGTCTGTGATTTCTAAAGAAATCTTTGCATTTCTTCCCTTTTCTTTTTCTTTTTCTTTTCTTTTAAGTAGTGGGTTTGGCGGGAAACTTAAGCCGGGGGAGGGGGCTTTTACTTTTTAGACAATATTTTTATTATTATCGAAATAATTTCATGACCATCTTTTTGTTTTTTTTTACATGAATTATACACGGCCTACACCTGTTTAAGAAATTTGTTTTTATTTTTTTTCCATTACATAAAATTTAGGAAAATTAATGTATATATAATTTTGGTTTTTAGTAATGAACTCAATGAGTTCATGCGTTAGTAATTAACAACTAATTAAATTATTGTGGAACAAATGTTAAACGATAAGAATCTGTTAAGTGTTGTTTAACATGATGGACTAATTTTATCAAAAAAAGGAAAAAATTGATGGACTAAGAAATTGAACGCAGAAACAAAATAGGTGAACTAGATTATATAAATGAAAAGAATTCAAGATGGTATTATTTCCACTCCATTTTCAATCCCACTCTATATTTAACATAATTATGAAATATTTTATTTTAAAATTTTAAAATTTATTAAAGAGTTTGTAGCTCGGTAATAGTGGTCTCCTATAACAAAAAGTCATATGTTCAAATCCTATCGGACTAATTTTACTATACGTCTTGGATATGTGAGTTAAAAATAAAATAAAATAAATACTTTAAAATTTTAATGAAATATTAATTTTCAATAATTATTAAAATTCAAAATTAATCCAAATAAAAAACAAGAAATATGTAAAATTTTAAGATTTCAAAATTTTAATTACTCTGTTATATTTTTTTTAAATAAATATTTTATTGATGAATGATATTTGGAAACACACACCCACCCAAAAAAAAAAAAAAAAAAATTGTTTTTGAAGAAACTAAATTTGGTGATAGGTAATGAAAAATAAAGGGTAAAATTTGAATATCGTAAATTAAAAGTTTTCAAAATTAAAATTGTTTGATTTTAATTTTGCTCACCTAAATTTTTTAAATTATTAAAATATAGCAACAAATTTTATAAGGTTGTCTGCAGCAACACGCGAAACGCTACTCTAGCTCCTCACTACATTCTTTCAAGTGGACGGGCGGATGGCTTAAATTCAATTTGAAGGTCATCTTTTGGATTTAAATAGAAAAAAAAAAAAGAAGATATTTCATAGGAAATATATGTTGTAAATTCATATATTTTGAAGCCATAGCATATATACTTGGGAATCTCAAAAGGTGCTGTGCGCTGCATTCCTAAGCAGGATCTCCACTTGCTTTGAAAATTATTGTGGAAGAGCAACAATGTCAAATTATCCAAACCTGTCATGCTTCGACCAAGAAATTAGTTTATTGTACAACAACAAATCTCAATTACAATCACAAAGAATCCGGCACAAATAATTAATTCTGATCCTCCGTTTACATTTTAGGCTCTTGCAGCTTTAGAAAAATTGTCACTTAGGAAATTTCGACGTTCCAAAGTAAGTTATTTGGTTTCCTGTCATGTTTTTCTTGTTTCTTTTTCAACATATGCGTTGAAGCTTTAAAATACGCTAAAAGCTTCTTAGGAAGGGTTAATAATGGAGAATGTTTTTCCATTACAGAGTTTTTAATCCATCGAAATTCAAGTGACCTAGTAAAAATACCAAAGCCATAAAGGGTTTTTCGATTCAACCAACGAACAAAGTTGAGCGCTTTCGATCTTCAATGAGAATAATCTATTTGAACTCATTTGAAAAAACAAAAATAGCTCCTCTAAAAGGATCATATATCTCACAAACACCTTTCTGAAGAGTTATTACTTAACTTTTTTCTAGCAACTGATCAATACTTAACAAATAACTTTTCCAGTTAAGAACATAAAAAACATTGAAAATTGTTTCTGCAAAACCATTCTTGGTTCTTAGATTAATATCACCATTTTTCATTCCTTTCTCAGTTGAATAATCACCAAACTTCACTGTTGAACGGAAGCCTTTACCTGAGGAAGAAAAAGAAGATTTACTTCCACATACGTAGTTGCTACAGCATGTATCCCCGCACCAGACATATGATTAAGGTTTCTTATTGACTTGAACCGCAATCAATAAAGTTTCAACTTTCTTTTTTCTTCAAAAAATGCGATTTCTCTCCCTTTTCTTTGTTGTTAGGGAACTTACTATAGCATTCGGCGCAGTAATGACCGAATTTATAATATCTAAAGCACTATGCTTTGGATTTGTCAAATTTTTTATCTCATCCTCTGTCTTTGCCTTATAATTGATTATCATCGACTCTGAAATACTAGTTGCCATCTCTATTACCTCGATCTCTCCTTTCTCTATCTCTACCTCTTCCTTTCCTCTAGCATTTTAGGAATGAATAAAGCTAAAATTCTTTAGAGCATGCTGTTCTGTAGTTGAACTTTGGTTTATCTTATGTTTGTGGACCAACAAGAAGCTCTGGAGTTCATCAAGGGAGAGTGCATCTATATCTTTGGATTAATTCTTCAGTTGAGAAGACAACATAATCAAGTGTCAATGAGCATATTTTCTTCTCAAAAACGACAACATCCTCCTTATTCTAAAAAATGGCAACATCTTTCAACTTCTCACCAAAGAATTGCATTTTGTTGGTTATCTCCATGGTTCTTGCATAATAGCTCGTAATAGATTCACCATCGGTCCTTCGTTTGTAGAGTCTCAAAATCCCTTCTCAAGGCTTGAAACATTGTACGCTTCGTTCTAGAAGAGCCTTGATATTTTTTCTTAACTGAGAATCTCAAATATCCTTAAAAGTTTCTCTAGTGCGTATTTTTTTCTAGGATAGATCGACCAATAGCTTGGAATAAGTAATTTTTTGCCTTCAAATCTTTCAGCTCCAACTCTTTTTGTTGTGCCTCTGTGAGTGCCACTTCAGTAACAGGTATTGCTACACCAGATTCAACAACATGCCAGTATTCTTTAGATCTCACGAAGTTCTCTATCAGCATGCTCCAATGGTTATAGTGACCATAAAAATATGACATGGCATGGCAGGCTGCACAGATTTTTCAGAAGCTATCATTGTTGTTACGAAAAAAAAAATAGAAAGAAAGTTATTGCTATACTTCTTTCTGTCTCTCGAATTTTCTCTAACAGCTTTTTTCTGTCTGACTAACCTGGTTCTAATAATATAAATTTAAAGAGAAGAAATCTATTCTGATATAAATTCCAATAAAAGAGATTTATTTCAACCATACTACTTATTCGTTAAAATAAAAATCCTTTAAATAGACATCACATTGACTAAAACAGCAAAAATATAATGAACAACAAACACTTGGCCACTACTAGAAAAGTGGAGGATTTGCTCCGATCGCCAAGAACCAAACTTTCCATTATGGCTTACATATTGTTCATAGTGGTGTCAGAACCAAATTTTTGCGGATGCATTTTTGTCCTCTCAAGATAACAATAGATTCTAACCTCCTTTGTTTGGTTTCTTTAATGTAGTGTTCGAGAGCTGAATTTTTATTCAGAATCTGTTTCTATACCATACATCTCTCACTCAATCCTGATCTTCTGTGAATATTTTTCAGCGGACAGCATGAATTTGTGTAAGATTCCAATCCATTACTAGAATAGTACTCGATTGCTATAATATATTTAATATCTTACATAATTTAAAATATCTTGGTGTGAAATAAAAATTAGTTACAGTTAATTGTGAAAATTTATTTAATTCAATATATGCTGTGTAATATTTAATAAAATATTAAAATTCCTTATTTGAGTTTAAATAATCGTATGAATATCTTTGATTTTGATCAATAAAAAACACATAATTGATTATTTATTTATTAAAATTAAATTTGAAAAAAAATACTAAATCAATTTATAGTAAAAGAGTGCGTAATTTTATTTAATGAGTCTATGAAAAAATAATCATAAAAGTAATCTCTTTTATACATGACTTTTTCTGATCAACAATTCCTCTGAACTTTTTGTCTACTTGACGTGCCTATTTTAACAAGCTATACGTAAAAGTAATCTCTTTTACACGTGCCTGTAAAAATTCAAAGAATCGCTCGCCAAATTCCATTTCCATTTCCATATCCCATTTCGGCATTTTCGGATATTGATTACTAAAATGATTTTTTTTTTTTTTTTTTTACTTTTTACTGTAATCAATGCTCTCTCTCTCTCTATATATATATAATTGTTAAATTTTTATAAAATAACCACGCATATAGCATAAGTTATTTTTTTATTATATTATTATTTTTGTTTTACAAATCTTAAATGATAAGAAAAAACAGCATATATAAAGAAGTTATTAGCATGATTAATGAGATATCCAGGCAAAGGATTCTAGAGAGGGGAAAAAAAAAGGCTTCTAGACAATAACCGGAGCACATACACAGATACTTGGGAAGGGCACCAATACGAGAAGTGAATTTCCCCAAAGCATAACCCTCCCTCTTAACCAGGAGCCATAGATCGAGTCATCATTGTCATAAACTCGTCCATGTTAACCATACCATCACCATCAACGTCCACTGCACTCACCATTCTCCGGCAATCCTCTAGGCTGCACCTCTCGCCAAGACGCCTCAAGACATCCATAACTTCTTCTGCACTTATCTTACCATCTCCGTTCGAATCAAATCCCAGAAAAGCACTCTGTATGTCCGTTGTCCTAATTCCTCCTCCCTTCTTCTGCGCTTCCACAAACTCCCTGAAATCAATGAATCCATCTCCATCCAAATCCACTACCTGGAAAATTTTTGACACTTCTCCGAGCTTGTTACTCTGTCCCAAAGCTCTCAGTGTAGCCTTGTACTCTTGCTGAGAAATCTTGCCATCTTTGTTGGAGTCGAATTTATCAAATACTTGCCTCATTTCATTCAAATTTGGCTGGAAAGTGGACAGTATGCCAGAGCTTTGTCTGTCCCGGGAAGAAAACAATCGATATGGCTTTCGCAAAAACTTGTTCTTTGAAAGCTTGTACTGGAACTCCAGAAAGCTAAGGTTTGACATTCCTCTGTTGATGTTTGGAGAAAACTTGAAAGATGCAAAGTTTACGCGACCTTGAACACCATAACAGCAGATATATTTAGAGCCTTATAGCCAAGGACAAATGGAGGATGGCAATATATTTAAAGCTTGTATAAAGGAAAAGGTCGGTTATTATTCCTTGCAAGCCACTACACGTCTACACCAAAAGATTCTGAACTGACACATAAGACAAACAAAGAACAAAGCTGTGGTTATAGATAGCGGAATAGCATTGAGAAAAGAATAACTCTTTGCAAAAGTTACAATGAATTCCTTGTGCTTCTTATCTAAATTCTCCTTTTGAGGATTTTCCTTTTTCTCTTTTTTTATTTTTTATTTTTCCTTCCTCTCTCTCTCTTTAAATGTAAAGACTAGTCTACATGAAGAATGCTGACAGTTGCAGGAACACTTCAACTTATTGGCTATGATTAAGGATGCTCCTGGGTGCAAAAAACTTGTCATAGGTCAGGATGGCTTTCCATTATCTAATTCCTCCATTACATCAATGTCGTTCCGAGCTGTTATCTTCTGTACATATCCTGCATCATAACAGTATTGAAAGTCAGCTTCAAATGGTAACCCCACAACTGCCAATAGGAAAAATGCAAATCATGATATCACTGTTTAGAATATTGAGCCGATGTTCATGAGAGATCATTTTTAAGTTCTCCTAAGATGCTCTGAAGTAACCTAATAATTAAGAATGACAATAAAGGAAGAAAAGGGACCAAGACCATGTAAATGCGAGGATAACTTTCCTCTCCAACTCACCAAGAGAAAAAAAGCAATACAAAAAGTTACGTGAACTTTAACCCTTCCTAAATCCCCCAATCGAGGTTTCCTTAAGAGAATAATCTCTCAATGGAACCTTTGGATCATAAAATAATCTCATACTTCTTTGCTTCTAAAAGAAGAAAAAGGGAAGATGCAAAACTTGTTGCCAAACATTTCCCTTGGGATTAAATATTCTCATTAATCCACCAAACCACAGGCTTCACAGATTTGCAGATCTAGCAAACGGCAAGCATATTGAACAAAACAAAAGCCCACAATCTAGACATCACTACCTCAATCATGCAGGTAAAAAGAGATAAAACACTATGACAAAAGGACAGACTTATAAATTTTGTACTCGCAGCTCATATGAATCAATCCAACCCTGAGACCATGTAAGCTTTGCAGGTAATCAAATTACGAGTTCTTTTTTTATGGGATCAAATAATGAGTTCTAATTTCTACTTCAACATATATAACTCATCGCATACATTTTAATAATTGGTTTTACTGGCAGTTAAGAAACATCAAACATAATCCATGTTGGTGTCGAAATCAGGATTCATTTTTATATATTTGTTTATCCAGTTATCTGATGAGCTAACTCATATGGATGGTGATGCATCCATGTTTAAAGTTGTGAAGCTATACAGCAGCTTGGGATTATGAGAGATGACTATCATATCATCCCTAGCATTTCTCATTTTCGTATACTGAATTTTGAATAAAGGTTGTGAACTAGCAAAGAAGAAAATTACCAATTCCAAGGCAAGGTACACATTTGCAGGTAACCTCTTTCCCCCTTTTATTATAATAGCTGACAAATCCTGAACCTTGGCAACTTCGACACTTTCCAGTCCATTCATAAACCACTTCTTTGCAATCCTACAATCCGAGAAATTAGATTCAGAACTACTTTCATGAGGCACCTGATGGCCATAAATAATAACACAATGGCACAAAGTAGTGCAAAACCTGAAATGTTAAGCATCCACTTGTTAAGCTTGGTTTAGAACAACAAATGTTGACAGGTAAAATACCATTTAAATTGCTCCAATCACTATGCAGCCTCTAATGACCTGTTACAGAACTTTCAAGAAAGGAATTTTTCTTCTAGACTATTTTCCCTTTAGCCTCATTTGATTTCCTTGGGACTTGGGAAAAGGGAACAGAATGTGAGGGAGAGTCTAATTACATTCCAACTATATTATTCTGTTTCTCTACTTGTCACACCATTTCACTTTTCACCAAAGCGAAGGAGTAATTTGTCTAATTCAAAGCATAGTATCTCATTTCACCAGAAATCCTAATTCTTACGTAACTCAACATAAGATTCTGATTCCATTCCAAATACATTATTCTGTTTCTGTCTTGCACAATTCTAATTCCTACTTATTGATGACAAACCAAACACCATTCCACCAAGAATCGAAAAAAGGATTCTCATTCCACTCCTAATCCTATGCAAAACAAATGTGGCCTTCACTAATGTTTCACCAGAAAATATTCTCCTCATCTCCCATTTGTACATGTGCAAGAATTTAAGTGCTCAAAAAAGGCTTAAAATGAAGCTAAATTGGCCAAATATCATTGATCTAATTCTACATTTCTTGCAAGATCTACAATGGATGCACAATTTAATTCCAGAAGCAAGCAAAATACCTGGGGAAAAAAATTCTATAAATTGAACACGACTAATGAAACGAAATTACCAAATCCTCCTAATTCAATAAAAAATAATCGAGTATTACCATTACTTATCATGAGTTTTGGAAATGTAACAACGTTGATAAATAAATAAATTGTTCTACCTCGACTACAGGATCGCATCTTAACCGTTTATCAATCTCTTCCGGAGGCACTGGTTTAGAATCAGGATAAGTCATAGGGAGAGGTAAAGCATCTTCATTATCTGCCAAATAGCTCTCTCTATTTCTTGACCATTTATTTTCTTTCGCATTCACTCTTATGCTGCTGCCACCACTATTTCCCCCAAACCCCTTCCTTTCGCCGTCTGCTGTAGCGGCTCCATCGAGTTCTTGCCCTATCCGGATGCTGCCTCCGCCAATGGAAGCATCAGCAGCCGATGTGAATTGGAGCCATCGCGGGAATGAGACGTCTCCGGCCGCAAAGCAGCGGAAAGAGGGGGTTATATCGGAGGTGCTTTTTGTAGGGAAGAAGAGAGAGGTAGGGTTTATAGATAGCATTTATCGGGGTTCATGCGAGAGTAATTGGAGGATTTATGGTTCTTGGGTTTCCTGGTTTCTTGTTTTTGGTGTGGCGATATATTTAGATTGGGACCCCCATTTTTTTTAATGTTAATTTCCACACAGCATGAGCTTTTCTTGTTAGCTTATTGGCTATTGAATGCGACAAAAGATTTTCTAGCTCGTAAATACTAGGACAAGAACCACGTTTGTGTCTGTAAGAAATTTTTGGTGTAATAAGCAGTAATTAAACAGGAGAGGAATATTGATTTGTTTCTTATTTTTCGATTTCAATATACGAGGAGGCTGAAAAGAAACTTTTGGTAAACATATCATTATGGATGTGTCGGAAAAGGACATGAAGGTTGGTTCGAGAAAAACTATGTTAAAACCCAAAAACCAATTCAATCTTTTGTGTTGTGGAGGGTAAATTCTTAAAAGCTGTAAATTGTGACAGCAGCCTCTATGAGTATGGGAAAGAATGTTCATTTCGTGCTTAGGAAATGAGATGAAAAGGAGGGGAAATTGCGGGATTTGGAAATGAGGTTCGTTTTTCAACATTTGCTATAAATTGAAGTTGAAAACTAACATTCTGTTTTAACCAAAACACAGCTGCATTGTTGCAAATCTAAAATTGATTAAGAGAATGGAGAAATAGAAGAAACCATTAGGTCTTCTTCTGCCACTGTGAGATGCCAAAATGGCAACATCAATTCATACAGAGAGCTACTGGCTTTTCTCTAAGAAAATCTGCAGCAGAAATTGCTTCTCTCCTTTACTAACAACCTCCTAATCCCCAGGGAGCATCATAAGCAATCATGTAATTTTATGCAGCATGTAAAATATGTTAGTCTTGGGTACAACTTTTACTATAATTGCAATGCATTATTGCAAAATCACATTGTTAGAATACACTCACGCAGCTTAGACCTTGTTAAACCGAACAAGTAACATTGATCTGATAGATTTGACCTCTCTCCTCTCCCTCCAGAATTACGTGGGTTCCCATCAGTGACCTTGTGTGGTGTCATTAAGGCCTACAAAGTAAAAACTTCCCATTCAGATCCTAAAGTGGTGAAGAATAAACTTGTTTCACCCTCTCCTTTTTCTCTATTTGCATTATGCTTAGTCAGGAAGATTTATGATTCCCAGGAGACACCCTATAATAAAAACAGAATCACCATTAGAAGTAAATATAGCTTGACTTGACTAGCAGCTATGAAATCTATGGAACGTAGTCTATAAGCATTGATTTTAACAGTTGGGTGCCATATCCAGAAAATTGAAGACGCAAAATATGAGAATTTCGTATTAAAACAATCTAGCTAAAGAGAGCAGCTTTGTTAGTAATTCGTACTGAATATTTAAGCCATTCCTATTTCGCAGCGAATCTGGGACTCTGCCATCAAGATTGTTATTTTGAAGGAATCTGTCAGCCAAAGATAGAATTTGTTTAGTTGATGTTGTAAATAATATGACGTGTAAACCTTTTTGGGCAATCAGAAAGAACTTACAACTCACGAAGCCGCCCAAGTTGGCCTAAAGATTGAGGAATTGGACCTTCAAACTTATTGTTCTCCAAATGCCTTCACGGGATCATAATTGAATTTCTATCACAAATCGGCAACAAGTACAAGGAACCTAAAGAAGCTAATCATAAATGAAGCAATTAAAGAATCATTTCTAGAACATACAGAGTTTGTAGCTTCTTCAGTGTGCTCAAGTTTGGGATTGAACCTGAGAGTTTGTTCCCTCCTAGCCAACTATAAGCATGATCATTCAAATTCAAAGCTATCACCACTGATCAAACAAGAAAAATGAGCAAGTGGAGTCATTTAGCTCAACCAAGCAGGCTAAGTTACTTACATATGGTTGACTGCAGTTAAATTGGCTATGCTTGAGGGTAGTGACCCAGAGATCCCCATGCTTGTAAGGTTCCTTCACGTAATACAGAGAACAAAAACAGCCCCAACAGAGTTATGTTATATCTTGATTGATTTTCTAATTGATTTCTATAGGCCTGTAATTTTATTGCAGCAGTGACATGCCTTGATAATAAGTTCAAAGATATATTTCACCTGCTAAAGTACCTGGTTCGAGTAGTATATTTAAGCTCTTAAAAGAAATGGTAAATTAAAGTGAACTTACAAAGCAACAACTCGAGCCAATTTATCTCGGGAACATTGAACTCCTGTCCATGAGTTCTTGTGAGGCAGGCAAGGATCGCCGTTCCAATCCGAAGGTGGATTAACAAAGCTTCTTGCTAAATTTTCCATTGCCATCACTACGAATTACGGAAACCAGAGAACTGTAAAAACAGGCAAGAAAAGGCTTCAACTAATATGTGGTCATAACTAGGAAATTATGGGCTACCATCTCTAGTTAGAGTCCTTCCACCAAGCGGAAAAATCTGATATATTTCACCAGCATTGATCACTGGTCCAACAGGTATGTTGTTCCCCGGAGTCAAGGTGATTTCTGTCTGCCCCGAAAGAGGCCACTCCGATCCATAAACACTCACACCGTTTGCTGTCACATTGAGATCCTTGTAAAAAATTTGTCCATTAATAAAAACACTGAAGACTCTCCAGCTGTACGCGCTCGGTGTCCGGTTGTCCTGGAAATAGAGTGCAATGTAGTATTTGGTGCTTGGAAGCGACGCTGGTGGCCACTGGATTTTTAGTGTCTTTCCTCTGCTTGTTGTGATTGCTGACGAGAATGCTTTGGGAGGAGGGAAGTTCCAAAACTCTGAAGAACTAATATTGTTGCGGCATTCAACAACAGGGTTCTGGTCTATAAATGGCTGCCACAGCCGGTTGAATTGATCATCTGGAAAACTAGGTTCAATTGTTTTTACATATGCACCATCAGAATTCTCCAGGTATGTTTTCACCAGTGTTAAAAAAATACTGAAGAAGACATAAACTTAAAAAGGTGAAGAAATGAATGGCAGGTTAATTTGCATACCCAATTATGTCCTCATCAGCTCCAAAATTGCCTCGAGCAACATTAACAAGTGCATACTTTGAAAAATCTGTCGAATTGTACACTGAATTTTCAAGGTACTCTATTTCAAGAGCCGATATGAAAGGACTAGAAGTAGTATGCTCATTTCTTGCAAGACAAACACTCAATGTTTTCGCCAGTGAAGCCACAATAATCTCATAATATGAACTCATCCCATTTGCATAATCTTCTGTGGTATTCACAGTGCTCCATTTAGTCCCTTGAATAATCTGATCAAATAGTGGTGGCTCTTTCCCTCCATCATAGCCTCCATAATAATAGGTAGTCCTTACTAAATATTTCCCTCCTTTGATCGCAGGAAGTACATAGCAATATTTTTTGGCTGAGGTATCAGGAAAGTAGCGCAATGTGGACAATACAGGCAATAAATCTGGTGTTTTGATGACTGATTTGTTTCCGGCAGATATGAAACCGTTGTCCGGAATGTATTTGAGGTTGCCTTGAGTTATGTCCTCGGACGCACCGCAATTTATAGAAAAACCTGCATTGTAATTAAGGCTGTCATGAAGGAAAGCAATAATCATCCATAAAATGTTCGACTCTATCATGTATAGAGAAAGCAAAGAGAGAGAAAAATATTTGAAGACAGAATAGAAGGACAAAAAAAAAAGGAGTAAATGATGTTGTTAGTTGTTACCTCTAGGGACAGGAAGTGAATTCACAGCTAGAGGAATGCTAACAAGCCATATGAGGAAGATGGAGAGGGACATTCTGGGGTTAGGGAGGGAAAGGAAACCGGAAAGAATGGAAAGTTGGGAAGTTTTGTTTATTTCTCCCTGGGGCATGGCATGTTTCCAATTCCAAATGGGACACGTCCAAGGCTGTGCTTGAAGATAGAAATGTCAAAATGATATTGAATGGACGTGCTTGACCAGGTCACTCACCTTCTTGATGTCTGTTTTTGTTTTTTCGGTTAGCCCTTTGCAGGCTTGATGTTTTGTATCGGACCAGGTTTTGTTTATATTATTATAAATATATTTTATGAGACCGTTAGAAGCAACAAGGCGCCTGTAGCTCAGTGGATAGAGCGTCTGTTTCCTAAGCAGAAAGTCGTAGGTTCGACCCCTACCTGGCGCGATCTTTTTACCTTTTTTCAGGCCCCCACCATTTCTAGTATGGGCCTGCTCCGACTCGGCCCAGGTCTGTTCTTACCTCAGAAAATCAGACCCCAACCCCCAAACACCAAAAAATCTCTCTTTCTGGTACAGCCCCTATCGTCGCCCTGCTCTCTGCCTGTTGCAAACAACGATGAAGGCTTTTGACATCAATGGAAGCAACACCCTTTCTCTTGCCCTTTTCACGGATGTCACCAACTCCAAGTAACTTTATCTTCTTCTTTTTTTGGTTTTATTTCTTGGTTTGATTTTGTTTTTCGAAAATAGAATTTATAGTACTTTTCGCTGGTTATTTTTAGAGTTTGCCTGGTGAACTTCCAAATAGTGATGGAGGATGGAATTTGGGAAGTTGGGTTTGATATAAATTAGGATTTGGTGTTTAAAGGTCGGTGCTTGTTAGGTTGTTAAGGAAGATAAAGCCACTTCTTTGGTAGAAATATGGAGTAAAGGCTCAACTTTTATGCAAATTAAGGTAGACGATTCCTAACAACATAGAGAAACATGAGCTTATTGTGAGTGGGTTTCTTTGTTTATTGGTACTGGCAAAGTAAATATAGGGAAAATGGCATCTTTGGTTGTATTAGTTCTTGGTTCTTGCTGCTTTTTATTTTCATCGAACCAAATGTCGACATTATTTTATTAGCACGTATACAGGCTCTAGAATATAAAAGATATTAATTTGGTGTTTATATGAAAACTCTGATTTCCGTGGGCCATTTGATTCTATTGGTTAGGTTGTCTAGACAATGAAAATTTTCATCTAGAGCTCCTTGCATCTTATTTGATCAGAGATGTGCAAAGGAGGTGTTACAGTTTGAACTTAGTTTAGTTTAAATGTTAGTTTAACGTTCCAAACAATGGGAGATGAGGGAAGTTCGATTGTTGCATAGCTATAAAATCATTGAATCGGAGTCTTCAAAATCTCGTATCAGTAAAATTTGGTTAGTACTAACCTGGACCATTTATTACTTATGAATCACAGTTCATTAGTCTGGATGCCAAATTTTACTCCTTTATCAGGTCTCTTGTCTCTTGAGAACTGAACACTGCAACTCTGAGTGTGTGATGTAGTGTTCTCTCGCCAAATTTCTCTTCTTTAGTGATTTACACCAATTGATATAAGTACCATGGGCTTGTCAGATGCATATGTTCTAATTTGCCCATCACTGGTTAGATGTGGTTTCCAAGTGCCTATCAGTGTTTAGCATCCAATACCATTTATTATGACAAGGAACAAGACTATAAACCTTGTTTTTGGTTTCTTTCTTGTGATTAGATGTTTGCATTACATCGTTATGCCAACTTGCAAATAGAAATTTCATGAAGTCCTCTTGGATCTTGCCAACCATCGGTGATACTTTGAGATGAACTGCCTAAGCAACTCTTTAACCTGTTCATTTTATGGAAAAAAATGTTATTGAGGATTGCTGAAAAGCATCATAACCTTTGAGCAGTAGCATGAAAGAGAACTGAATTCTTAGCATAATAATAAGGATAAGGTTTCTGCATTAGATTAGAGAAATGGCCATCCTATCAGGCTTGGTAATAGGAATTTTAAATTTTAAATTTGGAACATTTTTATTGAATCAGCTGTGACCTACTTGCTTCTGAGAAACATCAACCTTATGTGTGCCTTTAGGCCCCTAAACTACTTGTTATCTTGCAGGGAACTTCTAGATTCTATGCAAGCTGGAAAGCTAGAACCAGAAGTTGCATTTCTCAATGCATCACTTGTATGTTTCCCTACAGAAAAACCTAAACCAATTGAGTTTCTTGTTCTCTTTCTATTTATCTTTTTTGTGGTCCAGCCTTCTGGGCTGCACTTTGGTCAGGTTTATTTAATGTTGCCTCCATCAATTGCTGTGACAGATACCAGATGTTTTCCCTCTTCTGGCAGCAGCACATAAAACTCTTATAGCCAAGTCCAGGGATTCATTGACCACACGCACTCTTCATTCTGAACTAGTTTATAATTACTCAGGATCTAAGCATGTAATTACCCCCTTTTCACTGCTTGTTGAATGCTTAAATTTCTCTTGTTTAAAACTTATTCTTTAGCTTCTTTTTTATCCCTAGATTACAGAATCCCTGAAAAGATGTGGAATTTCCAATAACACCACATACATCCTTGCAGCTCGTTTCAACGCTTCTCCAGAGGAGGTGAGGATTTCTTATAAATGTCGCTTCGTTAACCTAAATATTTCATTGCTAACTAAAAAGACATCATTCAATCCGGTTGCACTCTATTATAGATGAAAGCTGTAGAGAATCTTATCAATGGGAAAGAAATCGAATTAGAGGAACTGGAAGGGAGAGCAAACCAAGCTCAAATACAGAAGGTTAGTTGGGTGTGATCATCCTTGGCACTGCAAAACTAGTTATATGATTTGTTTTGTACTGATACTGCTTCTAACTTTGTTTGATATGTTTGTCAGCACTACAAAATTTCTGGCTTGGAAGTAGGAATATCCTCTTTTGCAGATGCCATTACCTGCCGGATAGCTGCACGTGATGCCTTGTAAGAAATACAAATTACCATGTATTTAAATGTAGTTTTAAATTTTTTCTGTAAACTTTTAGCTGTATGGCTCATGGAATTTATGATTGAAAATGTTTGGGGGGAATTTTTGCAGAAGCATCGATAAGTTCATGTTTTGGAACCTGAAGGTTTCAAAATTCTTGATGATAAGCTGTGCATTTTATTTTCATCCAACCCTTGTTACTTTGGTTAAAATAAATAGGACCAAAGGTTATCTTTTTCTTTTTTGTTTTTAGAATAATGTTGTGTATTAAAAACAAGGAAAAAAGAGGAGATGTTTTGTTATTCGGGAATGAGGGACGCTTTGTTCCAATTGAAAAAATACTAATGAACGATAGAATATCTTTTAACCGCGTTTAAAGTTTCTTTTATGACACGAACCAAACACGGGGTCAACACGTGGCAACCTTTGTAAAAGCGACTCGTCATTGTCTTCGATGCGAAGTAATGGCGGACGTTAGTTCGACGCTTAGGCGTAATTGGCGATAGCCGGTAGTCTTACACCTGGCAAGAGGTGGACTTTTTTCTTAGGTGCCCCTGAATTTTAATGTTTTCGCAATTCGGTGTCCTTTTACTTGAAGCCTCTTTCCTACACCTTAAGTGATTGTGGAGTTTCTTTTCCTAAATAGGATATTTTTTTAATTTATTTTTTCAAAATAAGATATTTTAAATTTTATTTATAAAAAATAAGTATTTTATCACATATATTATTTTTTTAATTAAGTGTTAAAATACATATTTAATATAATAATTTAAAAAAATTAGAAACATAAAAGAAAAAATTAACTTATGCTTTTTGTTTCTCTTTTGTTGTCTTTGTCCTAATTTCTTAAAGTTTAAATTTTCTCACAATTCAAAATCACAACTACTAAAAAAGTTTTTTAGCATATGTATATTGTTAATTAAAGTATTTTTCTAAATTCTCTTGTTTTTATTTATTTAATTTTGATAAATTTTTCTTTTAATTTGTATATTGTACATTCTTAATTTTCAAAGTTTGTACTTTAAGAAGAATTTCGTAACTTGTGCTAATAAATTTACCATCAAAATTGTTAATCTTGCTACTTATTTTTTTAGAATTATCAATACACTCTCTTTATTAATATTTTTTATGTTATTTATATGTTGAGGAAGATGATAGAATGTTCTGTTAACAGTTCATCTGTTATCTTTTCCAAAATAAAAACAAAAAAATAGGCTATCTACTTTTTTATTTTTAGGATAGGTTTATAATGATATTAGATTCAGCAAAATTATTTTTTGGATTGTGAAATACAAAATTGTTTTGTGTCAATCACATTCCTCGTACTTATCATTTTGTCATCGCTGCTCTACTTGTTAGTAATTAAATGTTTGTTCTGCCTACATGCCAATTCCCGAATAAAAGAATATTTATCAATATGCATAAAATTCTATTCATTCTGATAGTATTTTAAAATTTTAATGTTCAACAAATAGAAATAAATTGCATGCAGTACCAATTAGTATTTTAAGCATAAGTTTGTATTTTTAACATATATGGATGTGCATTTAACATTTCGGTAGATGTGACATACAAATTTAGAGAACTAATTAACATATAATATCTACAAATTATATAAGTTTTATATTTTAGATTTTTGTTAAATTTGATGTAACATTAAATTTTATTTTTTCAGAGTTGGTAATGAGTAACGAGAGATATACTTATATTTTACTACTTGGAATGGACATATTATTGATGGAGAAGAAGGACCATGTTACAATAATCCACCAAGGAAGGCCATTAAGCTTACCCTAATGATCAAATATAATGAGTTGCTAGATAAACTATATGTTATTATAGGATTTAATAAACAACATGTTCAATCGAAGTTAGTCCGCAAATATCCCTAAAGTTTTACAAACATTAATATTCAATTATATTCGCTTTTGTATTGTTGATGATAGCAACGTAGACATTATCCTTGAAATTCCTTCTATTCATACTTCAATTAGTAATATTGAGTTATATGTTGAGACATAAGTCGTACTTATTGAATTAGTCGAGCGTGATATTCAAGACACTAGTTCGATTTGTTTAGGCGATTGACCACTCAAGAAGATAACAATTTACTCAATTCTCTTGTACACTTTGATAGAAATCGTGATTCTTTTCGAATCATCCAACTTCTTCGAGTTGTTGGTGCAGGTGCATAGATATGGTCATGAAAGTGATGTAAGTATGGATATAACTACAATACGGTGAATAGTTGAACATGAAAGTGTTGATATATTTGATGGTATGCATGTGAATAAATAACTTAATAGTTGAAGAATGTGATATGGGTAAGGAGAGGAAAGAACATGAAGAAGAAGAAGACGAATACAATGAAGGTGAAGATATGGTTATGAATGTGACATGTGATGATGATATGGTAAATTCATAAGAGTAACCATTTTTAGAAGACTATGGCTTAAAGAATGAGTAGAATCAACCACGACATGAATCGGACACACCTTACTTTAAATATGTAGATTGGGTAGATATTGATTTGGTAAGTGATTGGACTCCATTACCTCAAAATTATAGATGAAATCCTAATGATGAGTTAATTAAGGGATTAATTTTTCAAAATAAGGAAGAATTATGCAAAGCAATAAAATTATACTCTATCAAGCGACACCGACAATATGAAGTTCTTGAAACTAAAGAAAACGTATGGAATTTAAGATGTAAAAGACAAGAAAAATGGGTGTAAATAGAAACTTCATGCATTCAAACGAAATGGTCATAGATTATTTGAGACTACGCTATATGTTAGTACCTATACTTGTGTTTATCCAAATCTTAGTTGAGACCATCATCAACCGGATACAAAATTCCTAGCCCAAGAAATAAAACATCAAATAAAGGTACAACCGACTTATCTCGATAATAGCTTTATGTGAATAAGTGAAGTCAAAGTTTTACTATAGTGTTTCTTATAAAATGATGTGACATGCAAAACGGAAAGCAATCACAAAGGTGTTTGGTGATCGGGATACATCTTATCAAGTATTGCCAAAATTTATAAAAGCTATTCAAACATATAATGGTGGCATCACTGTAAAATGGCATTATGATCTTTAAAATGATCCAAATTTAGCTTTGTTTAAATGTTTTTTTTAATTTTTTTAGCATCTATCAAGGGGTTTAAGCATTGTCAACTTGTAATTAGATTGATGGCACACATTCATATGAAAGATATACGATAAACATGTTGATTGCAATGAGAGTTAATGCAAATGGATAACTTTTCCTACTTGCATTTGCTATTGTGGAGGAGTCCTTTGATGGTTAAAGTTGGTTCTAGCTTGCATTAGAAAGAAGGTCACTAATCGTAGAGGTATTTGTTTGATATCGTATCGCCATGTTGGTATTCTTGCTACAATGAATGAACATGGTTCAAGATGAAAAGAGCCTTATGCGTATCATCGTTTTTGCCTAAGGCATTTATGCAATAATTTTAATGATAGATTCCATAGCAAACATTAAAAAATCTTATTTATAGAGCTAGAAGTGCACACCGACTAAGAAAGTTTAATGCTATTATGGATAAGATTGAAAAATTTAATTCGAGGCTCAAAAATGGCTAGAAGAAATTCCTTAAGAGAAATGGATATTGATATATAATGGAGGTTGACGAGTATGGAGTGATAACAACTAATTTATTTGAGGTATTCAATAATGTATTAAAAAGAGCTTATAATTTGCCCATCATTACATGTGTGCAACCGACATTTTATCGATTGGTAAGTTACTTTAATGATAGACAAAAACTTCCAAAAGAAGTTATTGATGAAGGAAAACTTTATGATCCTCATATCCTAGCAAAGCTTAATGGGAAGCTAAGCATGGCTAATGCACATAAACTCATTTCATTTAATGAGAATAGAGGAATCTTTGAAATAATAGCAGCACCTAATGGTGAAAGAATGCGACGAGGTCATAATAAACAAGTTATTCAGCTAAATAATGCTAAATGTGCCTGTGGTAAATGACAAATCTATAAATTTTTATATTCTCATGCATTAACGAGTGTGTGGAAGATTGGCTCTTGATAATTGGTAATTTATTAATAAGTATTACTGTTTTTAAGAGCATTTTCATACATGGACATCACATTTTTATCCTATTATTCATCAAGATTATTGACCAAAAACTAGCATTCTAAGATTACATCCCGATCCTAATCGCCGACGAAAGAAAAAAGGAAGACCAAAATCTACTCATATTTGGAATGAGATGGACATTAGGAAAGGTCGGCCACAATATATTGTGGATTGTGTAAACAACCGGGTCATGATCGTCAAACTTGTCTATCAAAATAATAGTAATTATATTTTTTTTATTTAGTTTAATGTATTTCATGCTTTCAAAGTGGCTATCCAACTAACTTGTTATTTTTTTTAATATTTTACAATTTATAACTTTTAGATGTCAAACAATGATGCGTAACATGGATTTCTTGGTCACAAGATTTTTCATAAATAGATTCGAAAGCAAGATGGCCTTTTATTTATTTTTTTCATACTTCAGTGTGTTTTATTCCAAGACTATGCAATACAATTATTCATATTCATTAATTCTTTTATCTATTAATGCAATTTTATTAAATTTAAAGTTAACATTCAAGATAATTTATTATTAATAAAATTTTAAGAATACTGTACAAATTGAAGTCAGTATGTTATTATTATTATTTTTATAAATTATATTTGTTTCACTAAATTTTTTAGTACATAGCAAAGATAAGAAGCATCCTGTGCGATAAAGCGAGTGCTAATGATAGCTGTTTCACTAAACTTCCAGTTCACGTAGTTCTTTATTTGGAATGAAATAGACATTCCCAAGCAACTGTTTGGATCATTCTACAAATACTTATTTCCATATAATATCGCCCAGAAATTTAAAAGCTAGAACACCTCTAATCTCTACATCAACTAAAGGTCCCTTTATCAATGCCAAGCTTGAGAGTTCTAAATCATCTTATATCATGTCAAGAGCATGCGATTGATCTTGAAATTTTTAGAAAAAAATATTGATTAACAATTTATTTTTCGGTTAAACCTCAGCTCAAAGAAGTTATTGATTTTAATGAGAAATATTAATTTACCTAAGCTACAAGTGCCAAAGAGATGATGGAGGTGGTTATACTGTTATTGAAAGCTTCAAAGCTGCAAAAAGTAACTGAATTAATACCTTCCTTTTCATTGCACAAGACTTGTAGTCAGTGGCAGATGGAGGGAGAATTTGATTGACAACAAGCTTCTTAACAAGAACATTCTCCTTCTTTAAGGATGCACGCAATCTAGATGACTCACTAATTGCCATTACCTAGGAAAAACAAATAAAATGGCAATTATTCCTTTTAAAGCAAAACACTCATAATAAACTAACATGCTTCTAGCTATCTTTTATTGCTTCTCATACGCAAATAGAGCTACTCTAAAAATTACCCAATTATAACCTGGCCATTCAAAGGGTATATTGTGCATTGGAAGTGTTTCCTCAACTGTTAAGCTGAGCAAATCAATGTTCTAGAGAACAAACCAGAGCACAGAAAGTGTGTACTGCTTCTTTTTTGTCTTCTCTTTTTTAAAGGAAAGAGAAAATGGTGTCCCCTCAAGCTTAGACTTAAAAGAATAAGGCATAAGTAACAAAATCTAAAGGCATAATGTGTATTTAAGAAGATTTTTATGACATATTACTGTGGAAATTGTTACTATGATGAACTCGATGGAATCTGTGTCACGAAAAAGCTCACGCACTTTTATCATCCTCTCCCTCAATCGCTCCAATTTCTCAGCTTGCAAAGAGAAAAAATTTTAAAAAAGGGCTTATGAATTAAAAACGTGCAGCATAAAGCCATCTCCCAGAGAATTCAGGCTTACAGAATCCTGTTGGCTAGTTTGCTCTTGGCCAAAAACAGATTTGATAGCTGAGGTTGCTGAAGTTATATTTTGTCTAAGCTGCAGTACAATGAAAATAGTTTTAGAGTAATGCATGGTAACCAAATAGAAAACTATTTCAAAGTAGATAAAGCAAGTTATTTGTCACCAACAACACGTCCCTAGATCCTAGTTATTCCTTTGATATACAACATAGCCAACAACCATGTAAAAGACAATAAAACCATGTAAAAATTAATTAGTGTGCAGTTCATTTGTTATAAGTAATGTTCAAAGAAGTACCTACAATTAACATTGTATAATAATTTTAGATCGGTAATTCAAGATCAAAATTTCCAGTTTTTTTCTGGAAGTGTCAAATACATTTATGTTTTTATTGTTTCACGTTGGTGTTTCTACCTTCAATATCTTCCCAATGGATGCATCCAGGAAGTCTAGCAAGGATAAAAGTCGCAATAATAAAAGGGTCAAGATGTCTGCCTTGAAGTAAAAAGCTCTCGTAGTTTAAAATCTACAGAAGTCTGTTCTCCAAGAATGATTTTTAATGCTACACGAGTCAATAAATAATGTGTAGCGACCAACTTGTAAGAAATTAGAGCACTTGGAGAAATGCCTACTGAGGATCATCCAACAAGGTATGAGGTAGCATTATGGACTAATTCAGTTACACGAATTCTGGATAAAGTTAGCTAGGATAAGAGGATATGAATTAACAATAGATCTTTTTGCTACTGCTAGTGAAATTTCCTCTCCTTCTCATCTCAGCATATCCTTAAGTCAACTCTTCGACAGCTTCATCAGATAATTGTGGGTGACTCTGCTTTTGAGCATAACTCACATAATATCTAAGACATCATGCACTCTGCAAGCAGAAATTTTTTTCAGAGGATCAAAGGTAGAGCTTTAAGTAACAAGGATTGCTAGAATTCACCATACGTCAGGATTCTTGAAGTGCAAAGAAACTATATACTTGGCAAGGTGCCTATCGGTCTGTTCATCAGCCTTGCCAAGAATTAAGTAAATCAAACCAAACCTGAGAAAGCATACACAATCAGTAATTGTACTAACAATTAAACACTTAATAGAATCAAATGTCTTTCAGTAATTATTGTATTTAACATGGGCAGTACTAACATATAACAGCTAAAATTAAGACATTTAGAAAAACATTAAAAATATAACAATATTATATCCAATTTTATAGTGTACAAGCAAGTCCATAGTCATGTATTTTTCAATACTGCCAAGTATCAACTACCTCGGTTGCATGGCATATGGATCATATTCCTTACCTAGACAACAAGGTGGGAAGGAAGAAGGTGTATATTGTCAATCATAGAGACCCCAAGACTATAATGTGAACCAATAGGATTTGCACAAGCCAATACTGAAGTTCTGGCATTAAGGAAAGTAATAATTCCAGCCTTTGCAATGGAGACGGCTTGCTGTTCCATCACCTGCAATAATTGAAGCGAGATTAGGAACTTTCATCACAAAAAGTGCAGGACTTAAAACTCTAAATGGACAATATGCTAAAAAGTTTAACGCAAAGTGGAATATGTTTAAGTGGTGCTTTGCTATTCTATTCTTCTACCATAAAATAAAATTAAAAAACTATATTTACTTGGATATTTTTTGGACAAACAAGGAACCCCTCTCCCACACATAGTCATTTAAATTGTCAAAACTGACACATAAAAAAACTAAAAAAGCATACAAGACAAGAATAAAAATGCACTTATTTTCAGTTTTCTTTGTAGGATCTGAGTCTACTATTTAACAGAGAGCTTCTTTTATATGTCTAAAAAATCTGGAGATAAGAAAATACGACCAACCTCATGTAACACGCACCTCTCATTTTCACACATTTTGTCAAATTCATCAATACAGCAAATTCCTCTATCACTTAAAACAAGTGCTCCACTCTCCAAGACCTACAAGATTACATCATCAACATCACTATCTCACATAAAGGCACATATATTCTAGAGCTAGTCGCTTGATCAAAAAATAGAAGGATTATATAAATGAAGTTTCATACTATTTCCCCTGTTTTAGTATCTTTGCTAACATAAACAGTCAAACCAACAGCAGAGCTTCCCCTTCCACAGGCGTAGATGCCACGGAGAGATAACTTCTGTACGTATTGAAGCAGCTGAGACTTGTTTATTCTAGGATCACCAACAAACAGGATATTTATATCACCACGGAAGCTAGCACCATATACAATTTCCAGGTACTCCCTCCAAAGAGCTGCATTTTAAGCAATACACTAACAATTGTTATTGATACAAACATAATTAAAGAACTTAAAACTTTATAACATCTGTAGTAGCAGGGGTGTGGAAGTGTAGGAAGTCAAACTTATACAAATACCTGGTAAATAAAACCTCATTTCACATCATCAAGCTTCCAGATGTTTGGTTGCCAAGGACCTGGTCAGTCTGTCATACATATCAAGCTTTCCTGATAGCTCTTTTAATTTCTCTATCTGCAATTGCAAACAAGAATGCGATCTTAGCTGACAAAAAAAAAACTTTCTCGAGTAAAGAAAAGCGTAATTTTAACACACCTTTGCTTCATCAAATTGGAAATCTCCTTCAATCCCATGCGAACCATTACCATTGTCAACTTCCATGGGATCCTCTGACAGCATTCTTGACTTGTCAGTTTTCTTGATATGAAGACAGTCTATGTAAGTCTTCAATGAAAAGGAATAATTCATTGCATTAGGAAATTCCCTCCCTGTAGAGCTTGAAGAGGCCTCAACTCATTTAATTGGGCAAGAAGAAAAACAAAAAATACCTTGAATAATGATTTAACAGTTCACTATATTGGCCCAATTCTCACACTCATGGCCCTATAAATCCCAATAACCTATTCAAAGAAAGAAATCGGTAAGAAAAATATAAGTTTTAGGAATTTCTTTCCTTCTAGTCAAACAATATAATTCGTTCTAGTCTCACCTCAATTATATCACCTGGCTTTCCAACATCCACTAACTTGTCATGCATTAATAAGCTCAATGTATGCGGTGTCCCTCCTTCAGGGATCTCATCAGGTGTCTCCTGGAGTCTCACAATCTGCTTATCAGCAAACCTGATTTTTGGAGCAAGACCAGCTAACTACAGTATGACAACTTTGTGAAATAATATTTCTCACTCCTTATTGAGAAAATAGTTCAAATATCATGTTTCATATTATAACTTTTTTCCTAGTTTATAGTTCTCTAGAATTGAATCTAAACAAAGGATTGATAAAAACCAAGTGACAGATTGAAAAACTAAGAGATATCGAAACTCTGAGAAAGAGAGAGAGAGTTGATAAGTTGGATCAATACTAGTAAGTTGTGTTGTTCGGCTAAAAACATAGCTTGTCGGAGGTGGGTTCTTTTTGCAATAGCTATTGAAGGCATAAGAACTTGAGTTGATACAGAAAGAAAACAGTAAAAGGAGAGAGTAATTTAGGATGTCAATCTATTAAAATGAAATGACTCATATTTGGCATAGACTACCTTATTATGGGAAATAAATTTCAAACTATATTATTATAAGAAATAAGGTATAAAAATACCTTATTATGAAAAAAAAAAAAAAGGTTGTGATTTTGCATCCATGATTGCCTTTGTTAGTTTGGTTGAAATCGTGAAAAAAATTTAGCACTACACATTCAGCATTTATTGGGTTTCTATTTTGTATATTTTGTTAAATGAATTCTATATTTTAAATTATCTCTTTATTTTTTATGGAAAGTAATTTTAGATTCAGTATGTTTAATTATATTTTATCAAAGAAAATTTATTTAGTGTTGAAACAAACTGTTTTTTTTTTTTTAAAGGAATTCAATGCATTGATTATTGGTTTAAAAATGTGACAGACATATGGAAAGATAATAAATTTTAGACTACATTAAATCTTTTTGTAGCTTAGATGAAATGTTTTTGCATGTGAGTTTTGTGAATGTATTAAAAATAGCCTTCTTTGATTTGTTGTTCTAGCAATAACTATGCATGTAGCTATGATATAAACCAAAGTCAAAGAGATGGAAAAAATATCATATACAAGCATAAGAATGGTATAAATTATATAATTCATATAGTTTTTTATTAGCTAATTAGTTCAATAGTATCATGTATAATTGATCAAGTGTTAACTGGTATCCTAATTTTAATTTTTTCAATTCGAGTATCATAACTATTTTTTGTTCCTAATCAAGTAGGGTGATCTCGTTGATCAAATTTTAGGCACACTTTTTGCAATAAATAAAAGACATATAGATCTTGTTATCTTTGTTGATTAATTTGACGTAATAAAATTATAAATTACTCATTTTTAAATTAAAACAAAATATGAGATTTTGTAAGAAAAAAAAATCAATTATCAAATCAATCAACAGATAAAGAGAGAGATATACATTTGAATTGTAGATCTTTGTTGAGAGAGAAGAGAGTGTGAAGCACAAATTTACTTATCTATGCATACTTTTTGTAATTTCGAAACTTTTTAGGTGTGAGGGCACCGGCATGTTGCGGACAGTTTGGATGGGCTTTGATGTCACTACAATTCCATAACTTTTTAAACTTTCACCTCATCAAACCCAATTGCTTTAGTTTTAAGGATCCAAATTTTGAATCTCACCCTTTTGGACTTGCCTATTCTCGATCTTTCCTTTCCCTTCAAAGAAAAGGACTCTACATTGAGAGTGGGCCCCACTACATTGCATTGAGAGAGTGGGAGTGGAGGGCGGTGGTACCAATCATGCCACTTCTGAGATTTTGGAGATGAAAAAAGGTGATGATATAGGATAAAGAACAGAGTTGGCTACTGATATTTTATTGGGCAATGATTTTTCATTGGTTTAAGGATTCTTTTTTAATCTTTTGTTTATCAATACTAGAAACGTTATAGATGTTGGTGGTGCTTTTGCCAACAAAGGAGAGAAAAACAAAGATGGTGATGCAGATACAAAAAAATTATGAATTTTTTTAATCATTTTACCATCACGTATTTATCTTGTGTACTCGAATATTAATCAACAGGATCAATCGATTTAATTATAAATTAAAAAATAATTATGATAATCAAATTAAAAAATTTTAAAATTGAAATATCATAGTATATGATACTATCAAACCAATTAGCTTTTTTTATTGTTCATAAATTATAATTAAAAAAAATAGTATTGTTGTTGTTTTAATTCTTCTTTGCAATAAGACATTGAATACAAGACATACCATGTATCTAAAATTGCACAGAGTATTGCAGTCACCAATTGCACAGAGTATTGCAAGTCACCAAACATAGAGTGCGGGGAGAAAGTCCATGAATTTCATATTCATTTGCAAATTGCTTGATTTTATAAAAAGCCATTATCACAAATATAATAAACCAGAGGGCATCAATGCAAAACGCAAATGTATAATTGAAACCGATAGAACCGGTCAATGAAGATCTTCTATAAAACCTCCGTAACTGCCTCCATCAGATCACTCTAATCAACCTACACAAACTCCCACGATACTGAAAATTCTATTCCATCCTATTCTCTCCTAATCATTTCCGAAACCAAACTCTCTCCCAATTCGTAAATCCCAAGAATTTCATTTCTCTTTCCAAAACCCAAAAAATGGGTACCTCTCAAAGCCGTGAAGGCCAAGACTTATCAGACACAGACTCAGAATACCATTCCGGAGAAGAAGAAGAAGAAGAAGAAGAAGAATTTCATTACGACGCCGTAGAACGCCAGGAAACCCCACAAACCACTTCCTCGTCAAAGAAAACGCTGGATGAAGTCGATTCGAAACTCAAATCCCTCAAACTTAAATACCCATCAAATTCCCAAACTACCCTCAACCCTGTCAAGCTCTACCTGCATGTCGGTGGCAACACACCAAATGCTAAATGGATCCTCTCTGATAAGCTTGCTTCTTATAAATTCATCAAAACCAACGGCTCTGGTGATTCAGATTCTGAGCATGATGAAAAAGAAGGTGATGGAAATTCCTTTTGGGTTTTGAAAGTGGGGTCTAAAGTGAAAGCTAGGGTTTCGATGGAAATGCAATTGAAAATGTTTGGTGATCAAAGGCGAGTTGATTTTGTTAATAATGGTGTGTGGGCTTTGAAATTTTTTAGTGATGAAGAGTATAGAAAGTTTGTAAGTTTATTTCAAGATTGTTTGTTTGAAAATGTTCATGGGCTTAGTGCTACTGAAGAAAATAAGTTGAAGGTTTATTCAAAAGAGTTTATTGGGTGGCTTAAGCCTGAAATAGCTGATGATTCGATGTGGGAAGATGCAGTGAAGGAGGAGGAGGAGGAGGAGCCAGCGCGTGTTAATGAGGATTTATTGGAAGAGTTTGAGGAGGCGGCGAATGGGGGTGTGCAAAGTTTGAGTTTAGGTGCTTTAGACAATAGTTTTTTGGTTAATGATTTGGGTGTTCAAGTTTTCAGGAATTATAACAAAGGGATTCATGGGAAGGGTATTTGTGTGAAGTTTGATAGTAATAGGAGTGGAGGGTCTAGTTTGGAGCAATCGACGCCGAAGAAGGCAATGTTAATGAGGGCGGAGACAAATATGATGTTAATGAGTCCACTGAAGGCAGGGAAGCCACATTCGACCGGGATTGAGCAGCTTGATATTGAATCAGGGAAGATTGTGACTGAGTGGAAGTTTGACAAAGATGGGACTGATATTACCATGAGGGATATAACAAATGATACTAAAGGGTCGCAATTGGATCCCTCGGAGAGTACTTTTTTGGGGTTGGATGATAATAGGTTGTGTCAATGGGATATGAGAGATAAGAGAGGGATAGTGCAGAACATTGTTAAAGGTGGTAACTCACCGGTTTTGAATTGGAGTCAGGGGCACCAGTTTTCTAGAGGGACTAATTTTCAGTGCTTCGCTAGTATGGGCGATGGGTCGATAGTCGTTGGATCACTTGATGGGAAGATTAGGCTGTATTCCAAGACATCAATGAGGCAGGCTAAGACGGCTTTTCCAGGTCTTGGTTCACCTATCACTCATGTGGATGTTACATATGATGGGAAATGGGTCTTGGGGACAACTGATACGTATTTGATCCTCATTTGCACTCTGTTTACGGATAAGGATGGAGAGACTAAGACTGGTTTTAGTGGTAGAATGGGAAATAAGATACCAGCTCCAAGATTGTTGAAGCTGACTCCTTTGGATTCACATTTGGCTGGTGCGAATAATAAATTTCACGGTGGTCATTTCTCATGGGTAAGCACGCATGCTTGTACATGCTTTTGCATTATGTTTTTGTTATTGCATTTATATGCCTTTTTTTTCCTTCTCTCTGTTGCTATGCGCTAGGTGCAGTTAATTTATATGTGGCAATCGTGTTCAATTTGATAATTCTCTGATCACTATTTAAATACATGTGAAGTGCATTTAAGGGGCCATAAATAAGATCCTCACAAAAGTTAATCTTCATGCACTCTGTTTTCTAGCTGAAAATCCTGAAACAGCAAGAACCACCTATATGACCATCTTAAATTCACATTTCACTTCCAATCTATGTTTTCTTGTCAGCGTATGCGTACGGGCATCCCCTTTGTTTAAGACAATAAGTCAATCTTGCTGGCTATGTAATCACCGATTATGATGCATAGAGTAAAATCATTTTAGCATTACCACTACTTCTGCCTCTATGGGAATAGCATCCACAGATACTGGCTAATGCTGTTAAGTTTCCTAGGCAATTTCATGACTTAGCAAATATGGTTGATAAAAGTTTCATAAGTAGCCATGCTAGTTATCTTTTTGCTGGAAAACAGGATATTCATGATATCCATTGAATTTTTGTTATGTTCCAATTTTAACTTTTGAATTTTGTAGCTTGGATGCATCTGTTCTTTCTTTCTCCTATTTTAGTGCCCTGGGGAATCTTCAGCGTAAAGTATTAAATTGGTAGAGACATAAGGTAGATGAAAAAGAAAAATAGAAGGTTTAAACTGTCAAGTGTTAACCATTTAAACTATTGAGTTGGGTGCTTGCAATTTGCTTGTTATCCTGTTACGCCTGATGCGAATTAACTCAATTGGTTTATGCTTTTGTCTCATGTTATATGTTATCTTTCAGGTCACTGAGAATGGTAAACAAGAGCGTCACCTAGTGGCAACAGTGGGCAAGTTCAGTGTGATATGGGACTTCCAGCGGGTGAAGAACAGCTCTCATGACTGCTACCGAAATCAACAGGGTCTAAAGAGCTGTTATTGTTATAAGATTGTGTTGAAGGATGAGTCTATTGTAGAAAGCCGTTTCATGCATGAAAATTATGCTGTTAGTGACTCCCCAGAAGCTCCACTGGTGGTGGCAACCCCGATGAAAGTCAGCTCTATCAGCCTTTCTGGCAAACGATCACACGGCTGAAACTGAACTATCTTTTTTATTTGTTTATTTCTTTTCGGTTTGTGCAGTTCATTTCTGCTATTTTCAGTTCAATTTGTTTCATTTTTCCCCATCTTCTAGTTGAATTATGGCTTCTGCTTGTATCTAGTGTGAATCTTTTACCTTGTTTCCCTATTAATTTGTGAATAGTTGTTTCTTTTGGTGAACGGAAGTATGAAACTGCGTCTCTCTTGCAAATTTTGTCATTAAATTTCCCATCTACCATGATTTTCGCATATTTTTATTCTAAGGCACGATCTAAGGTCTGAAACTCTGAATGATTGTAGAAAGGAAAGGAACCATAGAATACGGGAACTTGTAGCCTTAAAAAAAATATATAGAAAAGAAGATGCGGATGCATCTCGTTATTATGATTTTTTTTTTTAACATGGAGGTAGTTTTTGTTAATTTTTTAAACTTTTGAATGATATTTATAATTTTATAATACTTTAACAAATTCATTATGATTTATTTATTTTAATTTTACAAAATTTTCAATTTAATTAAAAGTTGAAATATAAATGTTGTTGCAAATTTTGGGTTTTTTTTTGCCATCTCATCCAAGAACTCTAAAGAAAACAACACAAACATTTATATTCTCGTTTTTTAGTCAAATTAACAAAATTTTACAACAAAATTTAAGAAATTATTGGATAAAAAATATTTTTTATTTTTGCATTATATTTTAATTTTTTTCATTGTTTAGAGAAAATGACAAAGTATATATTCACTTTTTTTCAATTTTTTTTTATATTTAAATTCGATAAAAAGAATAAAAAGACGAGAGTAAGAAAAAAAAAAGTTGACTCATGCCGTAATCTTATGAGATTAATAATGCAATTTAACATCATTAACTTAAAATCTTAATAAAAAAATAAAATTAAGACAGAAACTAAATAAATATAAATTGATGAATTTAAGGTGAAAAGAAAACCCTATATTTGTACGCTTAACTACTTAAGGATCTTGCAGCCATAATAAAACCACCACTACAAACATTAATGCGCGCTAATTTGAGCAATTAAATACTATACTTTTTACACTTAATGATCATGAAACTATAAAATATGCGGCCCGCCATCGCTAATTTGAGCAATTAAAATAGCAGAGCGCCTGACAGGGTTAATGCCTTTTAAGGGACTAGATACTTCTTTAGCTGAGTCGTTGCCCCCAAATTCGGTGGCATGCGAGTTGCCTTGTCTCCTAAACGTGCCATGGATGTCAATTTGTGATTAATTCTTTTTTTTTTTTTTTCTGATGGAAGCTGGGAAAGGTTACGTACAGTACGACTCGGGTTTTGTCCGTTTATTTGTCTTCACTGGAATCATTAGTCTTAGGAATAACGCCACCATAATAACATAACACGCTTTTTAAATCCTAATTCATAGACCCTGCGCATTAGCTGCGAATTTCTATTGGGGGAACATATATATATTGATCAAAACTTTCACAGAGGTCAATTTCATTTCTCTAGCGGTATAATTCCAGGAACTTGGATTCGGAAGAATTATAATTTTAGCTACAATCGGCGCCATGGATGATTTGGTGTTTAAGGTTAAATATCAAGGATTACTAGTTTGAGCTTTAATTGAACTTGAATTGAGATAGCATAATGATCATATTGCTGTGCTTTCAAGAGGATGCCAAAATAAGATTCGAATCTAACATTAGTCAGTGATAGAGAAACTAATAACATTAAAAATTTGATGAAACACAGTAAAGTATCGTGCAACATAATTCGTTGAAGAGGTAAAATGATTATCATGTTAATGCCAATTTGCTGATGAAATCGAGGAATCAGCACCTTTTGACAGTTATTCGTTTCACAAAGAAAGATTAGGAGCCTTTTTACTCACTTGCTTAATTAATCTACTCAAGACAGCGATTTGTCACCATGTACAACTTGATTAAAAAAGATTACCTTCACTATTCAAGGCACGATCGACAGCAAGAGAAAGCCTCACATGAAAAAAGTTTGCCACAATCACATCACTTTGGGTCAATAATGCTTTGTAATTAACAGGTAAACCATATGTTTATTTCGGAACTCAATTATTTATTGGCATGACCCATATGCCTCCACGGACAAAGTCTCAATCACCAAGTGTAAAACGAGTAAAGCAAACCTCTATCCCCCACCAAATCAACCAATCAAAGTGATGGTTTAATTAAAAAACTTTAATCTCTCTCTTACGTTTTGGATACTCTTATCATCACCATTATCTTTCAGTTTGCTTAACTTTCTTTTTTTTTACCTCGTATCCACACGTGATGAATTAAACACATGTTCAACATGATTGAAATCGATTCCTTGTCGATTAAAAAAGAAACCCACACGTTAAATTACATGTGATGGCAAAGTATCACAGTGTAGTTGCTGCTTGTACAGGAAGTACGATCACTTCTGCAAGCGGAGGGGACACTGTCCTACATGATTGGTGGAACCCAGAGGGCAATAGTGGTGGACTTTTTCATCAGGTGAGATTTTCCCGTAAATTTATGCCTGACGTGGGTCCCCATTGGCGTTCCGGATTTTGGCAGCAGCTCAAAACAGAGCGAGAACAGAGCATGAAAACAGAGGAAGTCATGTGTACTGAATGTTTTTGTCTTATTAACTCTCTATGCTACTCAAAACAATGAATTAGTACAAAGTTCCATAATTTGTATGGGAAGAATTGTACAAATTTACATTCTATACCAGCAACTTAATTATTCTTTCTTGAAAAATAAAGAAAGAACAAAAAATTTCTTACAGTGACCATTCTTTGGCACCTAAATTGATATTAAGAAACTCGTGAAAATTTAATTAAAACCCAATGCGCTTGCAGTACCAGCAGAGTCTGAAGAATCACCTTTACCAAAATCCATCATCATCATCATCCATTCATTTATTTCTTCCTCTCCAATCTTATCCCAGAACTCAGTACTTTCTTTCCCCATTTCCGTTTCAAATTCACTTCTCGTCTCGCTAATTTCTTGCTGCTTTTCTTGCTTTTCTTTACTCTCTTCAAAACTTGCAATGCCACTATCAGGAAATGGAAAATTAAGCTTAGCTCTTGGTCCTCTAAAATCAATGGCTGCCTTATCATAAGCCCTTGCCGCCTCCTCTGCCGTTTTAAACGTCCCTAACCAAACCCGTGCCGCCCGCCGTGGATCTCTTATCTCTGCGGCCCATTTTCCCCATGGGCGTTGCCTTACACCTCTATAATTCTTCCTCACTCTCTTTCTTTTCCCTTTCTTGTCGTCCTTTTTATCTTCTTGATTTGGCGGGAAAAAATTGCATCCTAAACAACCTTTGATCTTGCAAACACCACACGTGTCAAGATCCGACGGAGGCAATAAAGAGTTGTGAAAACCGCTCCCATTACTGCTTGTGCTTCCAAATTGTGAATCATGTGAAGTGGTGATTGGCACATTAAATCTATTTAACTCGCTTGAAAAATCCATTGAGGTGGTGCCAGAAACTACATTTTTTAGAGCAGCAACCATTACAGCCAACTCTTGATCTTGGGTCAATCTTAGCGGTGGAATTGCCGACTGTGGAAAGAGAGTCGCTGCCGGAGCTTCATCGACTTTGGGTCTCTTAGAAGATCTTTGCATTCTTGAAATTGTTTTTGTACTTTTGTGTTGCTGGGTCAAATGTTTCTTTTGGTTTGCTCTTCTGCTTTGCTGCAAATTGTGTTTTTTATTGGAGAGAGGAAGAGAGGAGACGAGTATATATGCGGATGAAATAGTGACGTGGCAAAACCAGCTGAAACGCTGGATAAACACGGGGTTTGAAGGCAATAATGGCACGTGGGTATTTTGGGGTGCTGTGTTGCTGACAAAGGAGGAGCTTTTGTCTTTTTTCCTAAGTGACGTTTAAAGTTATGTCATGGTGGATGGCAACACGCGGCTCACAGTGCGTGGCTTTGGCACTACAACAACTAAACGGAACTCGCTGGCACATACTCCACTCTCAAAAGTATGGATTTGAGGTCTTAAAAGATTCCTTGTATGGTTGTATGGTAATGAATACATGATAGACTTCCATCGCCAATAAATTGGTGTGGTTTATTATTAAAAAAATAAAATTTTTATTTATTAAAACACAAAAGATTTAATTCAACAAATTAATAATAGATAGCACTACTTATAATTAATAAGAAAAAATTTGTAATAAAAAATGAGTGAATAAGAATTCTCAAATATATACATATCAAGAAAGGTAAATATCTATATGCATAGATATAAATTTTCAAACAAAAAAATAATGAATTGTGTATTAAATAAAAAGAGAGGTAGATTTTTTCTTTTTTAACTCACACATCCAACGCTCTTAATAGTCTATTAGAATTTAAAACAGTGATCTCTTATTATAAGAGACTGTTGTCGTTGAGCTACAAACTTTTTAATAAATAGAGTGTTCATGAAATTGAGAAAAATGATAGTTATAAACGGAGATGATTTTTTATTAAGTAGATTTCAAATAGCTAACTAATTAATATAGTATTTTTTTTATTAAAAAGCTTGTGATTAATAATAATCCTTTTATAATTACTCTAATTTTTAATCAAGTACTTTTTTGTCATCAATCTTGGTATTATCAAATCAAAAATATGCATGCATCCTATGTGGCAATATTAGAATCCAGATAAATTTTATAAGTTATTGGAAAAAAGATAAATACTTAATATCAAAAAGTTTGAGATTTATTTTTTCTAGGTTTGGTTTTATTTTTTTTAAGTAGATTTCAAATAGACATGTAATTAGTAAAATTGTCTCTATCACGAGAGTTTAAGTTTAATAATAATAATTGAGTAATTAATTTGAATTTTAATTGTATATCATTTTTTTATTAATATTGACATTATCAATTATATATATAAAAAAAAACACCATGAATCCTACGTGGCATCACCAAAATCCAAATATATTATAGATGCAACTTAAAGCTTACCAAAAAGCCCGACATTTTATATATATATATATATATATATATATATATTCTACTAGTTTTTTTATTCGCGCTACGCTGTGGGTTGGATAAAATATATAAAATTGTTTAAAAAAATTAATTTCAGTTTGATAGTCTCGTTTTATGGTATGAATCTATAAAAATATATGAAATCAAAGATAAAAAAATTATTTATAATTTTTTAATAAAAATTTTGTATTTAACTATTTCTTATTTGTGTTTTTCATAAATTTTCCTTTAGAAAAAAGATTTATCCTTGTTAATCCCCGGATTATTAACTAAAAAGAAAATTAAATAATTTTTTTTTAAAAAAAAACTTTAGTATTTCATAAGATTGTGTCGAAAACATAAATAACAATTATTAAAAGCTTATATAGAATTGAACAATTTTTTTTATGTATATTTAATGTTGATGAGAATATCCATTTTTTAAAAGATGTGAATTTAACTTTTATATATTTATTTACAAAATAATGAATAATATTAAAATAAAAAAATACATATTAATTTGAATCATTGAGTGGTTAAGCCAAAAAATAATTTTAATTATTTAATTTAAAATAAATTAATTTAAAAATATTTAAAAAATAGTAAATGCTTAGTGTAGTAATAACTACATAATTAATTTATAAGAAAACAATGATTCAATATTTTTTTATATATATCATAACTATACTAAGTGAATTCAAAGTTTTTCATGTAAAACAAAAAATACCGTAAAAAACGTTAACTTGCAATGAATCTATTGATTAAATTTGAAGTTAATAGACTAAATAAAAATTATTACAAATTTGATTTCGATTAATTTTGATTATATAAAGAAGAAACAAATTAATAAAACATGTGAATTCTTTTTTTTTCCTCCTCCTTATATATTTTTTTATTTTATTTCTATGCTATGTATAGCTAGTCCTTGAATACGAGCCTCATACGCGAGCAACCATCTTCTTTTTATTTTTCACATTTGACTTTTAACTATTAATTAATTAATTTGAGTTTTTTTTCTAAAAAAATCATGAAAAAAATTATTTTAAATACACTTTTAATCTAAAAATGTATTTTAGATAAATTATATATATTAATCATGCCACTATAATTTAAAAATTATCTAAATCTATTTTTCAAAAGAAAAAAAATCATGTTCTAAAAATTGATTTCAAAATCCATACCTAGAGAAAAATAAATCAAAAGCTGTAAGTAAATATAATTTTAAATTAATTGGATGAGAATTTAAAAAATAAATGACAAATTAAAGTAGTAAATTTTAAATAATAAAAAAAATTAACAAAAAATACTAAAACAAAATGGGATCAAATCACAATATAATAAAAGTTTAAAATTGAAAAAAAAAAAAGAGGATTTAAAAAATGACAAATTAATGTAGTAAATTTTAAATGATATTAAAAAATGAGAAAAAATTATTTGAAATACTCTTTTAATCTAAAAATATATCTCAAACAAATTATATATATTAATCATGCCAAGTATAATTTAAAAATTACCTAAATCTATTTTTCAAAAGTAAACAAAATCATATTCAAAAAATTTATTTCAAAATCCATACATATAGAAAAATAAATCAAAACTCGTCAATAAATGTAATTTTAAATTAATTGGATCAGAATTTAAAAAAATTAACAAATTAAAGTAGTAAATTTTAAATAATAAAAATAATTAACAAAAAACACTAAAATAAAATGGGATCAAATCACAATATAATTAAATTTTGAAATTAAAAAAAAAAGAGAGAATTTAAAAAAAATGAAAAATTAAAATAGTAAATTTGAAATAATAAAAATAACTAACAAATTAAAGTAGTAAATTTTAAATAATAAAAATAATTAATAAAAATACTAAAATAAAATCGGATCGAATAACAATACGAGTTAAAATTTAAAATTAAAAAATATATATATATATATGTATATAGAAAAATAGAGGATCGAAGTGTTACAAAATGACATAAATAGTGAAAAGAATAATAACTTGTAAGTATATAAATAGTAATTTATGAGTGTGTAAATAGTATTTTAAACGGCCAATAATGATTTTACTTTGATTTTATTAATAATTTCTCACGCCAACATGATAATTATTGTAAAAATTATTCACAATTTCCACCTTTAGAATGCGCTAGGTTTGTGTTACATGTCCCGCAGACATATTATTCGACAAATTTATAGTGTTCTTTTGTAATCTCCAATAGAGTATTGTGAAGTATTCACAACTAAAATCCAAATAGTTTTATACAAGTATTGACAATTTATAATTAATTTAGTTTATTTGATTTTTCAAACATATAAATTACTTTTAATTGTGCTAAAACAAAAACACGGAGGTACCTAGTATATGATTTTGGTATGATACTTGAAGGGTATATATAAAAGGTAATTGATACATGTGAATCTCTCTAGACCTTATGGACTGGAGTTAGGAGGCATCGAGTAACAATAATCCTTTTTTATTTTTTATTTGACAGTAAAGAATATTTTCGAATCTATTTATGCATTAATTGAGATTAATTTTTTTTCTTCAAATGATTTTTAAAGTGTATTTTTTATATTGTTGTAGTACTTTTAGAGAAATTTAATGGATATTAATGTCAAAATTTAAACTAAAAAAAACCAATAAAGAGAACATGTATTTTTAACCACCACACCATTCCATTGAAATTACATTAATCCTTGAATGGAATAGTGTACATTTTATTTTTGCTATTTCTACGAATCTAAAGATTGGATAAATTGTTTATTATCGTTCAACAAAATAGTCGAGAAATAATTTTTCATGGATTGTTTATATCCCTTCATGAATGACCTACTTTAATTGAAATTAAAAGACAAATGCGTTCAGAAAGGTTGTTGTTGGAATGCCATCTACCCAAATTTTGAAAATAATATTTTGCATTGAAAGCGAGTCAGAGTGCATGTTTTATTGGTACAGTATTTAATTATATCGATTTTTGATTTTACATTTTGATGAAAGTATAAGCTTAATATTCATTTTATTTACTGTCTAAAATATTTTTTTATATTTGTCTCTAAATTATTATTATTATTTTTTTCTCTTTCAATTGGATGTCCAACAGATATTTTGGATAACAGAATTGAAGGATAACGTTTATAAATTATTAAATTCAAACAATACTCCCTTTGACAATTAAGTTTTTTTAAGGGAGGAAAGATCCTAAATACTTTCTGGTGCATGAGAGGTCATTCATTTATTTGTATCTCGGACATAATTTGACTCTGTTGTTGCATGAATGGGTCTCTGTTCATTTCTACACGGTCGTTTGAAATTATAGTTGGGAATTTCTATTAGAAGGAGACAGTTAGCTGGGGACACGTGGGAAGCCTGCTGCTTCACATGTAACGAATGAAAAGCATCCAAAAATTGACGGAGTGGATAAGGTCAAACTTCTGGTCTTCGTAATCGTACCGTCGACAAAGGCAACAATATAAACGCTTCCAAAAAAGGCCAAAAAGGGACAATAATACAAAAGGCATGTTCCATTGTGAAGAAATGGATCTGGATGGATCCATATGGGCAAACCCAACCGACCACACGTGACCAATATGCTTTTTAGATATTGGTATCTAAGTATTATCATATCAGTTTTTAAGTACTATATATATATATATAT